CGGCAGATACAGTTGGATGGCAGTTGCAAAGAGTTTTATGTGATGGTCCTCAAACCGAGGAGCCTTGTGACTGTGTGATTCAGCTCTTGGCAACATGTGCCACCCATGGAGCGACCTGACATCGCCCATTGTTGTCCCGCTGGAAAAAAGAGTGTGACCGCGAAGCCAGTGTCATGTCACTTTCCGCATGTCAGTTTTATGCATGTTGTTTTTACTTGTTTCTAGTTTGAACGCGTGTTTTTGCGTTCTCCGTTTCTTGGAAGTATTGAACACACTTCCGTTCGCGTGGCGACTGAAACGTTTGGTTTAATTTACATTTGCAGGGGGACTGGAGCCGATTTGCCTATCCAGTCCAACGAAGCTATGGCATTTCGGTGGATGAGTGGTCTGATCAACCACTTGTACCTGCAAAACTCTGTTTGAACTGTTGACCAAGCTGTTACACTGCGTTGTTTCGAATCTACACGGTTGCCACAATCTGTATTGCATCAGAACCTTCCTCAGATTTTCGCCGAAACCATGTCGCCGACAGTATTATGATTTTTTGCTATATTTTCGCCGAGAGCATGTCGCCGATGAACTTTGGGTCATTTTGGGAAACAATCGCCGAAACATTATTTTGGATTTTCAACATGCTGGTCAAAACTCTATGGACTCTGGTTTAAACTACGTTTGACAATATTGGATGCCCTACATCGTTTTCGAGAAGTACCTCATATGGCTCCTTTATTAATCTAACGATCTAGGCTGGTTTGCATGTTTCAGGATTCAGTTCCTGCCGGATCATATAATGATCCATTCTTGTCTAGTGTGTGTGTGTGTGTTGAAACAGTTTTTGAAATTAGGAATTAGACCCGACTGACGCAATGGCTTCGAAGTCTGGACAATATTGGCCGCCAGTGGACACCTCAACCTATGCCTACTCTGGATCGAATTCAAGTAATTCGCACCAGCTGCCGTATGACCCCAATGATCCCGTTTTGGGGACAGACATGACGCAGGGAGAATGGGACCAGCTTCGTGCACTCATGTGCAAAGCGGAAGAAGGTGGGAAGATGAATGAACTCTTGACCGTTCACAAGAAGGAGGTCAAGAACGCCCCAATGAACAGACAATATCCACCTGATGATGACTGGGAAGAGTGTGACGAAGGAAGTCAGCCACCAGTGCAACCTGCAAGTAACCCCATGTCCTTTGGGCCTGCAAGTGCGACTGGGAATTCAACTGCGCCAGCAGCTACTGGCAAAGCCCCTGCGGGTGCTTTGTGGCCAGAGGCATATGGTGACCATGCCACTTGGAAGGTGCCACCAACGTCACCCCCAAAGACTTTGCAGCAAGCTGGGGCCAGCTCAGGGATTCGTGATGCACGTGAATACCACAAGAAGTGGCAAGATCGCCCCTACGATCCCAATGATGACCCCAGGATTGAGGATGTGCAGAGAGATGAAAAGCCGAATGACAAACCTGTGTTGCAAATTTTTGGGAATGTTGTGCAAGCCAATGCAGATGCAGCAGATGCACAAGCTGCTGCAGCAACGCTCGAGGGGATGGCACGTCGCATGGGTGCTGGAGACAATGTTGGCTCAGCTGGATTTCCACAATTCAATGCACAGGTGCCTGTACCTCCTCCAGCTGCGAAGGCTGATCCGCCGCCTCTTCCTGCAGCTGCCCTTGGAAGTGAAAAGGCCTACAGTGAGATGAAAGGCAAGGGCAAGGAATTTGAGAAAGGTGAAAGGCGGACAATGTGAAAGGTGGCAATATTGACAAAGGCAAGGGCAATGCAAAGGGTGAGAAAGGTGAAAAGGGTGAAAAAGGAGAGAAAGGAAAGCAGATGCCGAAAGGTCCAATGCTTCCCGTGCCCAAAGCTGCAAGCCATGGCACGAAGTGTGCATGCATCTCTGAGGAACCACCTGAAGTGGTTGAACAGCATTCGAACAAGATTCCAGATGCAGGTGCAATGACAGATGGCTCCAAGCGCCGTCATAAGGCCGTGTGCTCAGCATCTGACAGTGAGGATGCTTCGAGTGTGCTGGGAAGCTATTCCTTCATCTCCGACACCGGGGACTCACCGCCCCTTTTCCCTTGTGTTGCTACTGGACTGCCGGGCAAGAAGTGGATTTCTCAGTGCCTGCATGGATCAAGGATACCTACCATTGGTCGTGCACGCTATTGAAGATGGGAAAATTCGCTGCATCTCCGATTACCTATCATGCTTTCGTTGTCAAGGTCTTCAATAAAAGTGCCGAGGAGTGCCGCTATGCCAAGAAGATGATCGGCCAGTTCAGGAAGAAATTGACTTCCACCCCAGGACCCAAGGTCCGGATTTCTGTGCATTCTTAATGCACTGCCGCAGTGACGCCTTCCTCAACACCGACAAGAAGCTGCATGCTTGAGCTATGGTTTTTGGTGTTTTCTCGATCGTTTGTGCAATGTGCCTGGAATTCACTGGTATGGATGCTCTGTGCAGAATCTATGGGACTTCGTTAATGGTGTGCCGACTGCATGGAATCCGTTGTGAAGTGATTTCAACCTGGCGCTTTGGTTCAACTTGCATCAATGAGTATGTGGACACAGACAACAGCGATGACACAGGAATAATTAACGTACACAGGTATTTTCGATACATCTGCAACTGCTGGGAAGAGATGACTTCGTGTGCAGATCCTCACAATGGTTTGCGGATGAGATGGATAGATATACATTTTGCATTGTGTTGCATGTCGGAAACTTGCTGGGCTAAACTGCATGGGAATCGTAGCAAAAGGGGGTATGGAAGTATAAACTCCCGTTGATATGGTGAACATGTGCTACGTTCCTGCATGACTTGGTATGGCGACTGGAATTTGGGTACAACAATGCTTTCTTGGTGCGGAACTCTGGATTTGCTGCGGAATGGTGGAATAACATCTGGGAATGATATGTTTTTGTTTGTTTTTCGAACTTTGCATGATGGTGCAAAGAATCTGGTGATGAAATTTGTGGACAAGAACTTCAACGTTTTCGAAATACACTTGCTGCTTCGCATTTGCAAGTGAATTTGGACGTTTTGGTGCGACTTCGTTTTTCTCCTGGATGTGCATGATGTTTTTCGACAATTGGTTTGCCCGGGTTTTAAACAACAAATTGGAACCTTTTTTCTGCCAAAGTGCGTTTTGCATTTTCGGAAGCTGCATGTTGTTTTCTAACAAGTTTGTGGACGAGAAGCATGTTTTTGGAAGTTGTGAGAAGTTTGAGATGATTTTGAATGCCGGTGAATTCAACCACTGTGACTTCACCATTTTGAGTTTGAACAACAGTTGGATGGAAATGGATGAGAATTCATTTTTGTTTTCCGCTGCCACTGCCAAGACGGCAAAACCAAAAGGAAAGAGACACAACACAGTGCATGTTGCATGAGCAACTTACTTCGCTTCGTTTTCCTGTGTGAAAAAGAATTGAGTGCTTGTGCAGTGAGAGCCGTTGTTTTTGGGGAAGTGTTTTGGTTTAAACACTCGACGTGGTGAGGCCGACCCCAACGACGCGTTCGCGAGCGACTAGTGGTTGTAATTAGGTCCTGTTGGATTTTCGCATCCAAACTGATGCATGCCTTGAACCTGGTGAGGAGACTGTTTTCTCAGGAATCGGTGCAGTGTTGTTCAATCCCCGGGGTGAGCGAGTCAGGTTCTCCTCACAGCGACTCGACACTAAAATTTTGAAGAAGCACCCACAGGGCACAAAGACTGCGATTTACGAATGTGAGTTCTTTGCTCTTTTCTGCTCGTTTTTGGTGTGGATGCCACTTTTCTCCAATTCCGTTGTCATATTATATATACAGACAACAATGCGGTGCGTGATACATTGATTCATGCAGCATTTCCCACAGTCTGGCGCGAATGATTTTGATTGCGACCTTGGCCTTGGAGTGCGAAGGCCAACTGGCTCCATGGTATGCTAGGGTCCCTCCGGATTCCAATTGCGCTGACGCACCATCGCGACATTCTGTACAACAGTTGTTGGATTTGGGTGTGGAACAAACTTGCTTGGATGTGAAAGACTGTTGGGAAAAAATGCTGCAGCTGGGAAGGAAGTGGAGAGATGGACAGGCCGCAACTTAGTCCCCAACTTGTCAAAAAGGTGCTGCTGCGTGAGAAGTTCAGTTGATCGTTGATGTGACGCTTGAGCATTCATGTTGTTTGTGCAGCCCACCGGTCCTTATGAAAATAATTGCGCGGTCACTTGTGATTGCGATTTATCAGAAGACGAGAGGTCTTTGATGCAAACCAGGTGGCTTAAGATGTAGCTGTGCTCCGCCCTGCAGTTCATTACAACATCAACTTCAAATCTTCAATGCAACTTCATACTTGTGGATTCTCAATGTCATGTGTTTCAATGCCTTTTGTTTTCGGGTGTCAACAACTTGCCCCACCCACTGCCACCCTGGCAGTTGTTGACATCCTTCAGAGTTGGATGTACAGTTTGTCGACTTTATCGTCTACATCCATCTTCATCCATCTTTGTCTGGCCAAACCCACAGCCTGATGGACAGGCTGCAGCTTAGTCCCCAACTTGTCAAAAAGGTGCTGCTGCGTGAGAACTTCAGTTGATCGTTGATGTGACGCTTGAGCGTTCATGTTGTTTTTGCAGCCACCGGTCTCTATGAAGATAAAACGCGTTGATTTTGAAGGCAAATCTATAATCAGTTTCGGTCGGTTCAACAATGCGCAATTCGAAATGGCACATATTTGTTGTCGGCCGCCACTAAACTTCATATTTGGATTGGACTCAATACTTGCATTGCATCATCAAATTTGAATGACTTTCGCCGAAATACCACTGTTGCACTGCACGGGGTTTGTGAATTTGTAACCGAATGTTGTGTGTCACCAAACCATACATTTGTCTGATTAAATACAAAACATGGGTTCCATTCCATGAACAAGTGAATCCAACATATTTTTTTCGTTACTGTTTTGTAGCGCATGGATTAAATGAACGCGGCCATTTGGATTCCAGATGGGCTCTTACGACTTGTTCAAAGTGTTGCAGCGTGCGGATGGCGAAATTTTGGCGTGGTTCCAAAATGTGATTTTTCTTTTCAAATGGAAATCACATGTCATTTTGGCAAAATTTGAAATCACTCGATTGGTCTATGTTTTAGTTGAAAAACATTTGTCTGTTTCTTTAATCGATGCAATCGTGAGTTGATATCAGGTTTCTTGGTGCTGCTGTTGGGAACTTGACACAGAACAATTTCGTTGTGCTTGTTTTTGTTTTCAATTTATGTTGTCAAATTGTGTTGAACCCGTGTTACCCTAATCGCCAAGGTTCAACATTTCTTTCTTGTGGCAAATGCTGAGGATACTCCGGCAGTAGCCTTGAAACACACCATGGCAATGGTCACAGTAGCTGATGTATTTTTTTTACTGGTGCGGTTGAAATGGCATCACTTGTCAAATTGTGCATATTTTCACCAAAACGCCCCTCAGGCAGACTCTTGCACCAAGGACAAAAACCACTGTGTGATATTTTTCAGAAATTCAATCAGTATTGTGATTGCTGAAAAATCAAATTACAAACATCTGAACCCACTTCCGTTGTCGAAGTCGGATGAAACTGCGTTTTTTTGAGGAGCGGCCTACTTTCGCTGATTTGTTCGAGGCATCGGCGTTGGTGCTCATGATTTGTCGGCAACTTTGACAATCCCTGCAGGATGAAAACGAAGGTTCTCCTCTGAATTTGTTGCAAAGAAGACAACGGCAGCGGGTGCAGGACAGCTCGGTTCTGTTTCGGTTGAAGATACTGGGGGCACTTCATGGCCATGAATGAAGGTGTGTTGAAACATCTTGAAACATCACTGCCAGGAATTCCGCCAAGCCGAGCTACAGGTGTGACTTGAGCGGTGATTTTTTCCCCAAAATGTCTGTGGTGTTTATGGAACAGTGGCCGCTGTGTGGTTTGATCTTTGTTTTTGAACCTCACAACTTGAGAATTTCCTGGGTTTTCAGTTTTTCTTGGGTTTTTTTTGGGCATCCTTCTCAAATAGAGCTAACTGGAGCCAAATTTAGGTCAAGTCGTGTCACTCCTTCGAGGCAGAGAAGTCGCGATCCTGGCCGCCACCACCCTTTGACTTCGAGGTGCGGCTGGAAGAGACACGAAGTTGTCCCATGTTGTCCCTGATTCCCTGATTTTTGTCGTGTGTTGTACTGCATTTCTTTGCCATGATTCACCGGTATATCCGTATATCGAACATTGTATTAAAGTGTAGTAGTATACAGTACAGTATAATACAGTATATACAATAGATATAATATACATTCCCTCTACCGTGGACGTTGCTGGTGCATTTGGACTCTTGGACTCTTGTCCCCCTGCAAGGATAAGGGCGTCCGCTACAGCACCTTGACCAAATTCACAGGATATGAAATGCTAACTTCAAGAACTGTTTCGTGACCACACAATTTGTCCTCAACTTCAATAGTGTTGACCTTTTCACGTACAAATGTAAATTTGTCTGGTCTGAGCGTCGCAAATGGTGCATTTCAGACTCATGGCACTATTACATTTGCATTTCTGGATCCTGATAATCCTCCTGGTGGCACGCCCAAGGTGGTCTGTTGGAGAATGATGAAGAGACAAAGCCTCCGCCCCTCACACCGTCCCTTGAAAAAAACTCGATCTATTCCCCTTTTTTGAACATCCGACCAAGTGGAGGAATGGAGCAAGTCCAGTTTCGTCCAGTGCCGAGGATGGTGCTACCTCCCAGCTCCAAGCGGCGTCGGTCCTTGGACCTACATTTCAACGCCGTCATTGCGAGCTGTGGATCAAAACTCAGTGATCCGGCCAGATGCAACAAGGTGAGTGAGCCCAGAGCGCAGATGCTGCACGTTCTTTTGGGTCACACCACAGGTATCCACAGGTCTTTAGGTTGGAGCTTAGCAGCTTAGCATGTCTTCCATTCCGAGGCTGTGGTGAAATCCGCTCAGTCTGTCTTTGTGCAGCTGCACGTCGAGGCTGTTGCAATTTCGGAATTGCCAACGAGAGAACCACTTGTGCCTGGTGAAACGGGCCCAAAGGCGAACTCAAATGACTCAAATGACTTTCTGGCAGGCACGTATTGACGAGAAGGTGCCTCCTTTGACCAAGCAGGAGCGTGTGCCAATGAGACATCTCCCAGGATGAAAGATGAAGCCTTCGCCACGATAGCCACGTGACTTTTGGCTCAGGAGACCTCCGAATTCCGTGATCGGTTTGCGGAGCTCGTTGTGGGGGACTCGAAACGTGCCTTGGTCCAATGCTGCAGCGGATGATGCAGATTTGGTGCCCGATTTTGATGAATTGGGTGAGCATTTGCTGAACCCCATAGATTTGTTGGAAAAAAGAACGGTTTCCTGCAGACGTCCCTGCAACCAATCCATTTCATTTTTCATTGTGGTTCTCTTTCACTGTGCTGTGGATTTTGGATTGATCTTGATGACTTGGATGGCTCAGGAGTGGTGACCAAAAGCAGTAGGTCTGAACAATACTCTGGTTGGAAGAACTTGGTGCAGAACGGCTACATGGCAATGAGACCTGTGGTGCCTGAATCCTTGGCAAAGACGATCAACAAATTGCACGACACTGGAGAAGCCCGGCAAAATTGCTGATGTAAGCTGAAATAGGTTGAAATAAAAGGCAATGCCGTGGCAATGCCATTTCGTATCAGCTGTGGCCCTTGTAAGGAGTCCACTTGGAAGGCAGCCTACGATTCTTCCTTTGTGAAGGTCTCTGTGGCCAAAGGCAAAAGCAAGCTGGAAGCTTAGCCTGCGGCAATCAAGTTCTCTCAGCTTCAGATATGTTAGATATATAATATATATATATACACTGTATTTTGTAAAAAAATGTTCAACAAAATTACTGATAAAAAATACGAGCATTCTCTTCACGTCTTTGCTGTCTTAACACAAAGCATGGCCAGAGAAACAACCAAACCGATTGCACAGCGTAAACTGCGTAACTTCGTTCCAAAGACTTTGAACACTCTTTCAGCAGACCTATGGAGCAAAATGGGGAGAGTTTTTTTGCCTGCCCTCAAAAAACATTCAGAGATGTATATAGGTCCCCACTGCTGTTGCTGCTGGCACTCAGGGGCTTCTATTGGTACAGTGCTAGGTGTTGCTTCAGCTGACGCTGCGAATCAGAACTGCAGCCGCTGCGGTTCCCCGCTGCAACTGCCATGGCCAATCGACCCAGAGCCCCGGTGTCAGCCATCGCTGCCATCGCTGCCATCGCTGCCTGCTTTGGTCTTGTGACCTGGCCTGGTACCTTCTGTGGTCCTGTGAAACAACGTTTTCATGTTGACTTCGCCAAGGGCACCAGCACCGGCAGCCATGGAAGGTTGCCACCAAGGCCACCGAGGGCAGTTAGACAAGAGACGAAGGAGTCATCAGGATGGCAGCGTGGATGGAAAGCAGTACTTTGCTTGCTTGGTGCAGGGGTATTTTGGACTGGAATGTACTTGCTCTTTTTCACTGCAACATCTTACATTACTGAACTGGTCGAGCACTCGCCGGACTTGGAAGTTGCCAGCTTTGTTCTCTTGAGCATCATCCCAATCACTCTGGTGCAGAAAGGTGCCGTAGAATATGGAGTAGTCCGCCCCCTGACCATTTTGGCAAACTCTATGCCCAGTACAGGCCTGAAGCATGTCATTGAGAGTGCAATACCCGGATCGCGGAATTTGGTGGTTGCTGTGTTGATCTTTTTCTCTGTCAATCTCTTGGCATCAGCAGCCCCAGAGCAAGCTCATGTGGTTCTACCAAAGAAATTTGCTGCTTTGGATCCGGATGGGAACGGTATCTTGACCGGACCTGAATTTGAAGGAGTAGTTCGCAGTTTCAGTGTGAAAGTTCTAAGCGCTTTATTTCATTTTGAGTTGGGACTGTGTGCTATTTCTGCTATTCAAAAACCAAAAGGTTACTCGCCACAAAACCAAGATGTGATTGACAAATACTGGAGGGCCCTGGACTATAGAAGACCCAAAGCTGTGGCCCTGTATTTGGCAATGAACGCCATTATTTTGATGTCTACCGTGGGTGGAACACTGCGTGCTTGGGGCCTGTCTCCGAAGAGTATTCTTGCCCTTGGTGGTGTGGGAGGTCTGGCATTTGGCCTTGCCTCTCAGAATTTGGTGGGAAATTTCATGTCAGGAATTCTTCTCATTGTAAATCGGCAATTTAGTGTTGGCGACACGATTGAGACCAATGGTGTCACTGGAGTCGTCAGAAGCATGGGTTGGACGTTTATTGAAATCGAGAGTGGTGAGAACCTAGTGATGTTGCCCAATATGATGGTGGTGAATGAAATGGTGACCCAAATTGGGCATTATTCTGCAGACAACGGCAACGCTTCTGCAGCTCTGAAAGAATCATGACATCGCTTTTCAATGTATTTGTGAACGTAGAGATGCAGCCGACCAACGACGTCCTGAAATCGCTTTCGAAAAAGAGAGCTGGCCGGCTGGATGGATCGGCCTTAGACAGCAAATTCTGAGTTATCAGCTCGATACGGGAGAAATCCTTCTAAAGAGTCTAAGATGTGTGACTATCAAGCCATGCTTGCTTTCTGCCTGCGCGAATGTCTCACTGGAGGCTTGGATTTGAGATGAGTACCGAGGACTGTGAAGTTGGGAGGGGAATCAACAGAAAACACAGGAGGCACTTTGAATTTCTGGATCAAGAAGGCTCTCTCTCTCTCTCTATCTCTTTTCTGGGCAAAGCACTATTATTATCTGTCGGCTTTTATAAAAACATTATTTCTATACTACATATATATATAATATTATATCACTTTTTAAAATTATTTCTAGACTACATCCTATATCTATTCTGTTTTAATGAGAGGCGATCCCTCAGGCAGCAGCATTTGGTTTCCCTTTACTTCCAAGGAAGTGCTCACGGCACGTGCAGGAGGAAGATGAGATGAAGAATCATACTTTGAGCATGCTGCAAGAAGATCTCTCACACTTCAGTAAGGAGGAGCTGAGTAGAAGTGCACCCTGGAAGCATAGGACGACACGCATTTTTGCACAGCGATTTGTGCCAAGCATAATGGAAAAGAGCCTTCCGCACTGAGGCATTTGACGAAGAATTTGACGTGAGGGAGAACTGGCCAGAGTGCAAGCACATCACAACTCATGTTCGATATCAAACATGTGTCTTGGTTGATTGTTACAGATGGCGTATATTTCCATGCAAGGGTGGAGCGATCCTGACGGAGCTGAGAACACCCCTCACCAACTTTTGAGAGAACAAAATCCTGTGTAGCCTCTGAAACGGATCGCTTAAGTGCCATCCTGCGTAAAATGCATTGACTCAAAGAGCTTGAATATGTAAGACTACGTAAGCACCAAAGGTGGACTGGTGAGTTCTGGGCTCCATCTCCATGGCATGTATTTTTTTCACAACCGTCTTGACCACAGAGGCTGCATATTTGTTCTTATTTTATTCTTCCAAATAAAATCATATAATATATTAATAAGTATATATATGTATATATATATATGTATATTGTACATATCATAATTATATATACACATAATGAAAGGCCTGGTTGGATGCCAATCTCAATCGACAGCAATGGTGCTTCCCAGAAGCTGCAGGCAACAACTGTTGGAGCCATGCCACTGCCCTGATCACCGAGAGCCGCCTTTGTATTGAGAGCAGGGGACAGTTCCTTGCAGCGAAAGCGCCGGGTCAGGAGGTTGGTGGGGAAATGGGCAAGTTTTTTTGTTGTCAACCCCTGATGAAATTTGCTGTCAACATCAACATCAACCTTTTTTTGTACATTCTTTCTGGTCTTGATAGTTCTGAAAAATGCGGGCGCAGAACAAGCTGTGCTGCTGGCAAATTTCCCAGGTTCAATGGAGCCAATGCATGGCTGAGCCAATCGTTCATCGCTGCTTGCAGGCACCGTTCTCACTTTTTTCGCCGGTTTCAGGACGTTTCATGGCATGCCACGGTGCCTTGCGCAGGCTTGATGGCCGTGACTATTGCATGGGAGGTTCCGGGCTTCTTGGTTTCAAGACTGTTTCAAGGCACGGCCTGCGCAGCTTTCAGTCGCCTGCTTTCTGTGCCTGTCTCTGTGCTCACCCCGGTTTTCACCTGTTTTAGGTGGGGCGTTCCCACTGGTGGTCCAGACTTTCGTGGAAACATGAAGGACGGGACGGGATGACGGGATGACGGGATGCGGCTGACGGGATCTCTTTTTGCGATTCGACGTTCGAATTCACCGAGGCTGGAATTGAGACGTGCTATCCGCAGATTCTGCCGCATGATAGAGACATCCGTTGCCCTGGAGCTTGCTCACCATATGTGACCTACTCCCGACCTTTGTCGGAAGATCTTTTCTTCGCTGCTTGCCTGCGCTGGATCCTATGGCTCCTATGGGTGCAGTGACCCACGCAGTGACTAAGGTTCAGTACCAGCCGCGTGCACTTCATCCTGTCGGTTCTCAAGTTCATTATTTGGTGAAGCAGGCAGGTTCATCATGGCTTCACTTTCTAGTTTCGCACCTGTATGGATTGCGAGAGTCATTGCTGAGAAACTCTTGTATCCTTGTCAAGATTGTGAAGCATGGAATTGGAAATGATGTTGTACCCGATCGCCGGAGCTGGTCTTTCTATCTTGAGGCATTGACGCAAGACGGACCGATCTTGCTCGGAATGAGGATCTATCAGGATTTCTATGCTTATGAGTCAGGCCAGGGACACGTTCATGCCCACAGACTGGCCTGGTTTATTCTTGATTGTTGAAGATATATGAAGAATTATGACGACATGATTTACTTATGTTTATGCGGATGTTTATCTACCATATGAATCCATATGATGGATTCTGATCTATCGGTTAAGGGTTCATATTCTCCTTGAGCCCGGGAACTTTTCACCGCGTGCTTCATCCAGAGTGAGGCATCTATGAGCCAACCAGAAAGAGCTGGAATCTATACATGGGCGGACATGCTGTAACAGGCAGGATTCTGAGCAAACTCGTCCGATTGACGAGTTGACCGACTCGTGCGAATTCTGTGAATCCCAAGCCTGTCATCACCATTAATCATGAAGAATCTACAATGATCTTTCATAATGATCACTAATGGTCATCAATAAGTAATCATTCTTAAAAATCATGTTAAATCTTAAATCATGTCAGAAAAAATCATTCTGAAAAATCACACTTCCAATCATTTGTCCGAAAAAGTTAGAATATTTTTTTGGTTTCCTATCTTTGGTACCGCTACGCGCCGCTACGCCACTGCCTTGTGACAACTTGTGCGGCACGGCACCGTTGAGGCATGGGCTTTGGCCCTGGCTACGTCCTGGCCGTGAACAGTTGGAGCACCTCCTGGGGCATGGACGGTGCCTTCAAGGCGGGGCCGCTTTCTATGGAAGTTCCGTGTTGATTTTCATAGATTTTTAAAAGGTGTCGGTCGATTTTTTGGACAGAGGTTTTTTTGTATTTTCCTATAGATTTCTGTGGAATTTTCAAAGATCTCTACAGGTTTCCATTCATTTCAAAGATCTCCACAGGTTTCCATACAGATTTCTGATACTTGGAGAGGGATGAAAGGTGCTATTTCTGTTTTATGATGGATTGGACGATCTTTCGAGAAGTTGTTTGAAGATTTCGGTCGATTTTTTCGGCCAAACGTCTTGAGTTTTACTTGGGGCGATGAGAGATTCATAGAAAAACCTCATAGCTCTGCCGTGGGATTCTGCCGTCAGCATTTTGCGAGGTGTCGCCCCAATCCGTTGACTTTGGATTTTTTCTGCCTGGTCGACCACTGGGGAGCTTCTCTGGAAGTTCGTATCCAATGCCCTTGCCCAAAGAAAGGTGAGAGCATCTGGATCTGATGGGCAATCCCAGGCCCAGCCCAGAGAAATCTTTTGGCTAGTGACGGATGGTGAGTGTCCTGCTGCTTGTTTGCGCTCAAGCCGCAAACCAAATTTAAACAATATACTTTCTGTGCATTTTCTGTGTCAAGTCATGCCAGGCTTGGCCAATAGATCTAGTGAGAATCTAGTGCAAAGGGATGTCGGATATTGACTTCATATTGCAGCTTCCTCGTGAAAGGGCGAGGAGCAGTCTAGCTTACCAGCAGCCCTGTCAGCTAAAACGCTGGAGATTTGGCAAGCCGGCAAGCTATCTTTCTGGGAGAAGTGGACACATTTATTCTCCAGGTTCAACTTGAACAATGTATCAATACTCATGAATACATTTTTGGGACAAACATCAACAAACATCAACTGACATGCTCCATGAATGGAGTATTTACCACTTCTTTTTGGTTATATTTGGTGTGTTTCTGCAGACTTTGGCTTGTTACGAAGAGTACGGGCACATGCTTGGAAAGTGGCTTCCTCAGCGGGCAGAAGTGATTTTTGTCGGTGGTATCCCACAATTTGGAACCCCTGTTTTGGAGACGTGCGCGGCGGAGCTAAGGCCATGCGGTCCCGGTCGCGCTTCCAGGTCAATGACTTGGTCTATGTGCCGTGTCAGGGCAAGGCCGCGAAAAACCGAAGCTAAGGCTGCTAAGGATGTCCCAGTGTGAAGAATCTCATGATGGACTACTACTGTTATTTCATGTTATTTCAAAATTCCAAGGCCTCTTGGGGGGGTCCAGGCCACAGTGTGGATGTTTTGGGGCTGAACTTGCGGCTAGGCGGTGCCCTTCAGTTCTGGGGTTGTTGTGGAAGTGACAGACCAAGTGGCTGTCTCCTCAGCCTGGCCCATCTTTGCCACCAAAAAAGATGATAGTTCCAGTGCAGGCCACAGAAACATCTATGAGTGGCCACATCTATTGGACGATTTGGACGCCATCGCAGCAAGAAAAGAGGGAAGGACTCTTCAATTCGTCAGATCAGACCGTTCCCAGGTTGTCCTGACAGATGATGGCTGCCACAGCTGCGCCCCTGACGAGTTGAGATTGCGTTTTGATGGTGAGAGCTGCCAGGAAACCCAGCAGATGGACACGATTGGACTGGTGTTTTTTCCGTGTTTTTGTTTCTTTCATATATGAAAGGTGCACTTGGAAGACCAAAGAATGATAGACATGAACAGTTGCATCAGGTTTATTTGAAACTTAGTTCCTCAAAACCATTGACACCTCTCAAAGTCTTAAACTGTGGTCCACATCAAACATGCCAAGGTCAAGACAATACGTCGCTGGTGTATCTCAATGATGCGTCCATTCTCCAAAATCTCAAAGCGCGGCATCAGGAGTGCCCTGTGCCCCGCTGTTTCCAGGTGTTGGGTTGATTTGGGACCTGCTTCGAACCCTGATCCACAGGAGGATGCGATCTACACCTACACTGCTAGTGCATCTCGGCAAACAACCAGAGATAGCTAAGAACACCTAAGAATTAAGGTCTGAAACTGACATTGCGTCGCCAACAGCTGACCTTTGGGGCCTTTGGGGCTCTCGAGGTCTTATTGGCGGTAAACCCGTATCACAATGTGGAGGGGTCGGGATCTTAGCACAGCTGCAGCTTGACACAGCTTGACACAGCTTGACAGGGTGGGACCGGGTGGGATGACTCAGGTTGTACAGTCAAGATCAGTGCGCCAGATACCGCGGGAAGCACATCGGTGCCTTGCCTCCGCATCCCTACGCCATCGCAGATGCAGCGTACCGGGCACTAGTGCCTTGGAAAAATACGGGTAGCCAGTGGTAGTCACTTCTTCCCTTGTCCAAAGCTTCCCATTCTGATTGTCGGATGCGTTCAGGTGCGCGAGCATAAGAACCAGGCCTTCATCATCTCTGGTGAGAGCGGTGCAGGAAAAACTGAGACCGCCAAGATTGCATCTCGACATGGAGGAATCCAACGCTTAAAAAAGCTCTTGATTTAACTTGATTTCTTGATATTTCTTGGTGATGAAATCTGGATACTTAATTTTTCTAAACCTGCCATTGCCAATGGCCATTGGTTGATCTTTGGAGAAATTTCACTCTGAGGTGATGCAGTACCTGGGCTTTGTGTCTGGCTCCAGCAGCAGCATCACCGCGCAGATCCAGCAGCGGATCCTGCAAGCACAGCCCATCTTGGAGTCCTTTGGCAATGCCGTGACCATGAGGAGACCACTGCGGATGGGCAATTTTTCCACATCGGGGATGGGCAAAACATGGGTTTTTACGTGGCTAAACATCAAGGATACCTGGGAAAAAATATGAAAAAATGAGCATCCACAGGCCACAGGCTGCTTTGATATTTTGCCGGGGTTTTACCTGCCGTCCCGTGGCAGGAACAACAATTCCTCTCGCTTTGGCAAGTACAATCGCATCTTCTTTGACGAGACGGGCACATTGGTTGATGCTGGGGCAAACCATCTGTATGATGGGGGGCTCTGAGCATCCACTGGGAGATGAAAAAATGGGTTGGGCCATTTTTTCTGCTGATTTTGAGTCTCCAGACTCAGTCTGGCACAGTACCAGTCCTAATAAAAAGAGCTTGTTTGGTGAGGTGACGACGTATTTGCTGGAAAGTTCCAGGGTGGTGACGCACGGCAACCTGGAGCGGAGCTACCACTGCTTCTATGATACCTGGAAGCACTGTGTTTTTCTTGTGACGGGGGAGAAAGAGGTGTCAACAGAAAGCAGTGACATCAGAAAGAGTTGTCAAGAGAATCAGATTTGAAGGGAAATATCTTTGAACAAAACTCAACAAAAGGGAATTTCAAAAACCATTGATGTCAATGTCAAGAGGAAAAAAATGTCAAGAGAAAGAGTCGTCTAGAGAGATGTCAAAGGAAAACCGGAAAACGACCGAGTCACCGAGAGAAAAAGTGGTGTCGGAGACGACGGTGACTTGAGAGGTTCGACATGTTAAATGTGGTCACCTCTAGATCCTAGCCGCCCTAGCCGCGCTTTCAACTTCGCCCCCGGACTCGATTTTTCCTTTTTTCAGCATCAATCCACATTAGGAGATGCAACTGATGCAACAGAATCCAATCCCAGCCACTCAGGAGATGCTGAGCGGACTTGCTGAAGAGAAACTCTCCCAGTGGCAGCTCAGTCGTGAGAAGCAATACATCATCCTGAGCAGCGACACGAAACCCAGCGAAGTCACAAAGGCCGCTGCTCGGCCTATCGATGGATGGATTTCCACAGAATTCCAAGTGGATTTCCCGAAATTCCAAGCCTCATTCGTGGTCGAAGGAGTTCCCAAAGGTGACATTCAGAGCTCTTTGAAACTCGTTGCAGGACCAAGCAGAATACGAGAGGACTTGGCACATTCAGTTCCAGGAGAGGCACAATTCAAACACTTTCGGAAAGGAGTGCGACATCACTTATCAGACTTATATGGGGATGGGTCAAAACCCTGGTACCTAGTGAACCCGAAAATAGCTGGTAAATGGATGTTCATCCCACTAAAAATGTATCTATAGGTATTGACCCATACCCATATAGACTTATCACATTCTTCTGTGATTTGAAGACTTTCAGGAAAGAGATCAGAAGAACTTCCAGCGGCTTTGCGATGCCCTGAGGGTTGTGGGCTTCAGCGAGGAAGACATGGATTCGATCTTCCAGGCCGGCGCCTACCCGTCACCGTCACCAGGGTGTCCACCAATGGCCCCAACCGCCGTCGTGTGAGGTGCTTGCGGGCTTGGTGCATCTGGGAGATCTTTCCCTGGCGGAAAGAGATGAAGGTGCCGCAGCCGATGCCTTTGGTTCAACCAGAAATCAGATATAATTAGAAAATCATATATACATATAATATTTTATATTAAATATATACATACATATACAGATATGATCAGAAATAATCAGATGCAATTAGATAATGAGATGATATGATATAATATGTTCTTACCAGATATAATCAGAGATATAAGCAGATATAGTCAGATGTAATAGTGCGATACACATATAAAAGATGAGATCCTATCAGACATGCCATATAGTCAGAGTGTTTCAGTGACTGTTTTTGCATGAGAAGGTCAAGAATCTTCCAGTGTTGAGCTGGATGAGGAGATCTTAGAGAAGGCGGCTGCCGCAGTTTCTCTAAGTACTGTACAGGTTTTGGAGTCTTGATTTTCATGTATGCACACACATAGTGACACCAGTACAAAGTACAGATATGGTCTTTGAAACTTTGAATCTGCTATTCCGACCGGAATTCTCAGTTAGAGAATCAGATAGAATCAGATAGAATCAGATAGAATCAGATAGAATCAGATAGATTCATAGACCCTTCAACTTGGCATTTCTTTTTTCCATATTTTTTTCCATCTCAGGCTGCTGGATTGTTGGGAATGGACGCCGATGAGCTGAGCAGTGCCTTACGACGCCGCAAAGTGCGGGTCCTCCACCCGGGTCGCGAGTCCGTGCACGAGGCGCCTGTGACGAAGGGAAAACTCCCACGCTTTGACCGGGTTGAATCCTATGGTTTATGCTTGGTGGCGAACTACCCACGAATCGTAAGTGGGTTATAACCACAGTGATTGACATGGGATAAGTAGGGTTAATCCACTTATAACTGGGGTTATAACCCACTAAGTGGGATGAGCCACCAAGTGGGGTTTTAATGGTAGATATAACGAACTAGTATTCATGGGGGTTATTTCATGGTATATAAATTATATAAACCAACAAACATAACTGGGGTTTCAGGTTTGACAGTCGGTTTGACCATGATTTTTTTGAGACCATGGTTTCAGACGATTTTTGGGCTTTTTTTTTGTGTCTCATTTGTTTGACACCAGACTGGCATGCACAGGTGCCTCGAACGACCTCGCAATTCCGGCATGCTTTGCACAGCCTCATCAAGGCGTTGTACAAGCGACTCTTTGAACGATTGGTGGATAGAATCAATGGTTTACCCCTCAGATGACTGGTGATGACTGGTGATGACTGGTGTTTCAGTCACCGCAGCTGCCAGCCTTGAGGTTCATTTCAAGAACTGTCATCGCAGAGTGAGGCGAGAGGGTGGGCCTTCGTTTTGTGTGTCAGGCGTTCTGGAGTCAGGCTGGATTCTGTGTAATGACTTAGAATTTGAAGCACACACACACTCTCTCTGTGTATCTATCTATCTATCTATCTATCTATCTATCTATATATATATATATATATGCACATGCATACGTATGTACGTACGTACTATATACATACATATGTACGTACATACAGACATACAGACAGATATAATTACATATTATATGGCATATGATATATACGTATGATTGTATTTATCTATATATGTATATATATATATAGTTATCTACATATACGCATACATACATATGTACATTTATCTATCTACCTATCTAGCTAGCTATCTATCTATCTAGCTATCTATCTATGTAGCTATCTATCTATCTATCTAGCTAGCTATCTATCTATCTATCTAGCTAGCTAGCTATCTATCTACACATCCATCCACCTATCTACACAATACACATCACGTGCAAGTATACAGCATACGCAGACATATTTTCCGTAGGGCACCTATGCAAGAACGGGAAATCACCTCAGCTCGCAGAGGACGACTTCCATCGCCGTGAAATTGGCATTTTGGACATCTATGGCTTTGAAAGGCTGCAGCGCCACCCAGTTGCACGGTGTCAACGGTCATGTGGAGATGAGTTGCTCCTGTGACCTGCATAGTGAACCGAACACGACAACTGGTCCTTTGAGGAAACTCCTTTGAGCAGCTCTGCATCAACTTGGCCAATGAGCGTTTGCAGCAGTACTTCGTTGAGTGTCTGGGCACGAGCCTGTCGGAGCCTGCGGAGCCTGCGGAGCCTGCGGAGCTGTCAGAAGGGCCACAAAAAAAAACGGTAGCACGTGCTACCACTAAACTCCCAGGGATAATATTGGTTTGTCAGTTTGTGATCATTTTCCTCCTTAAGGCTCCTTAAGATGGCACCTGTGATCAGGCCGAGCATGGTTTGAAAACCACATTGCACACATTAGTGCGGTAAGGGGAGACCTTTGCAGGACTCAGTAGGAGAGAACCTGCTGCTCCAGTTTCACCATAGTTCCATCAACTTAGCCATCGGAGCTGTAGCACTTCGCCATCGCCCCGAGGAATGTCTTGATGGCCGAACAAGACCTCTACCGCCGTGAAGGTCTTCCATGGCCTGGCCTAGTGTTGCCGGATTCCAGCCCGGTGGTTTCCGCCATTGGCCACACCTTCAGAATTCTGGATGAGTATAGCCAGCAGCTCGCCAAAGGCCTGAATTTGTACATGAATGTAGTTATCGAGTTCGTATTTGGGGAAGGTTTCAAGTCTGATTAATTCTGACTTTGCTGATTATGTATGATCATGTGCTGTTTTTTGCATGCGAATGCAGAGTTCCCTCAACCGACTTTTGCTTATTGCTGTTGTTTGGCAGGATTCACATTCTGTGCATGCTGCAAAGACAGAGAGAGAGAGAGAGATTAGATTATATTACATCGATCTATTAGATTAGATTAGATTGGATTGGATTGGATTGGATTGGAATGGATGGACGGACGGACAGACAGAGAGACAAATCAATGGATCTTTGGATTGATAGATCGATGCCCCAGAAGTACTTGTATGGACTTTGCTGACGTCCAAAAGAATGTCAAGTCTTACCATCTGGTTATTTAACATAGCCATAGAAAATCACAATTTTTAATAGGTAAACCATCTATTTCTATGGGCCATCTATCCCATGGCGAACTGTTAAATAACCAGAGGGTATAGGATTTTCTCATTTTTTTCCACTTTGGCATCGCTGAATCAACTGAATCCAATTTGGAGCTGGAGGATTCGAAAAGACGGACGAGAGCTTTTGCCAAAAGACGGTGGATGAAGCGCAAAAGGACGACACAATTTTTGGGGCTCCAGGGCTCCACGGGAAATCAAACAGAACGACCAGAACGAGATGGGGATGACAGAAATTTCTAGGGACAACTGGGACAACTGGGACAACATGGATACGATAATTGCAGGATATTTGCACCATGATTGCACTGGGAAGCCTCGGCAGCGAAAGGATCCAGCGCGGCGGGAGTTTTTGCGCCAGCTGAGAGTCTCAAAACGTCGTCCCACTGCTGTGAACGAGGTAGGCTGAAGTATCTCACTGCGTGACATCTGTCTCTGGAACATGTATGAACATGTCCCAGTGTTGACCCTGGCAACCAAGTCCCAACTAGAAACACCTGCAAGTTGTTCAATTTCGCTGGACCATGGACAATTCACGACAGGGTGGGGGAGGGCTCTTACCCATGACACGCAACACAGGGCTTCATGGTGAAACACTATGCTGGTCTTGTGGAGTACAACACCAAAGGCTGGTTGGATAAGAAACTTGTCTCATCAGTTCGGGCTGCGTGGCTGTGTTCCAGGATTATTGTCCCACAAAGTCCTTGGTGGAAACAAAAATGGTTTGAAAACACCCACATACTTTGCGACATATCTTCAACAGGTAGACCTCATAGCTATGTAATAGTATGTACCCTCTGGTAATTTAACATAGCTATTGAAAATGGCCATAGAAATAGTGGATTTCCCATTAAACATTGTGATTTTCCATGGCTATGTTAGTTTACCAGAGGGTAATAGTTATATCAGTTGATGCCGAGGATCGTTTGCGAGATACTGATAGCTCCAATCACACTGAGGAACAACGATCGCTTACTGCCAGACTGTGAGGAACTGATTGGCACCTCGGCAGCCTCGGTAGTTTGCCGTTAGGTTGGTAGATGTTGGTAGAGCAGCCATGAGCAGCCACCGCTTTGTACAAGACTAGCGACCTAGAAAACCATAAAGCCTTCAGAATGGGAACGGGAAGCAGGAAACAGCTTTGCAAGAAGGTAGGAAGAATAGATTCTTTTGAGACCTAATTAAAATAATTATATAAATCTAATTGAGACAGAGCAGCTGACTTTGGACGGGAAAATGGGAGCGCAAGAAAATAAAGTGTCAAAAACAGCAAACAAACTTCCAAGTCAGGAAACACGCGGGAGTCATGTCGTAGAAGTAGCCATCGCACAATCTTAGATCTTGACCGACTGCAGGTAGCTCCAGCTTTGAGTTGGTAGCTTCCTTGAAGGACGAGGACATGGGAAAGGCCTCCGGGGTTAAATGTTGGGATGCTGGGATCGCTTCCAGGCTTTGGATGATATGCAACACTGCAACATGGCTCAACATGGCTCAACCATTCAGGGTGTACCACTGCCCTGTGATGTCTGATTCTACCGGGACATCTTGGCGTATTGGACCCCTCAGCAGGCTTTCCTAGCGGGGTTGAATCTTGAGTACCCAACATTTCTCCCAACAGTCCTAGCATGCTGTAGGAACTGGGGAAATCCATATACTGTGAACAGCTGTAGGAGTATCACTGTCGATCCACAGCAGCAGCGAACGTTGATGGGATGCAGGCACCGTTCCGATCCATCAGCAAAAAGTACTGCACCGACCTGGAGAATTTGCTGCAAACCTTAAGCAGCTGCCAGCTGCACTACATCCGTGACTTGATTATGACCCATCTTTGACCCGAAGAAAGCTTAAAAACTAACCGTGACTTCCCTTTTTGATTCTCTGTAGATCATTCAAAAGGATGGTGTTTCTGTGACATTTCTTTTTTTTCACCTGATTTCAGTCTGGATGTCGATTACTTGGGGGGTTTACCCCCGATCCTTTGCTTGTCATCCTGAGTTCGGATTGTTCTGGGAGATATGGGACCAATGGGAGATACCCAACGAGAAATCGGTGACTTGCCTCTGCATGTTTGCATCTCTGCTCCCATAGCTGTCAAACTATGTTGACTGAGGATGTTTCAAGCCCAACGACTTTCAGAAGGCTGGTGTCTTCGATGAAACACTGGTCCTGGACCAAATTGTGCAGCCAGAAACTCAGGCACCGATAGGTGCAGAAAAAAGCGTGCGGAGTAGATGGACTTGGCTGTTTGCACATTTGTCATGAACTCAATTTCAACATCTGGCATTGGAACATATATTGGAACATATATTGGACAATCATTCTAAGAACAAGATGGAATATTCCTACCCCCATATTGATCCATATTGGACAATGAGATATCAATCATCAATCACCTAACAATAACCATCATAATGGTAGTAATCACCACAGGTATGTGATATATCAGATCTTTTCAGACCGCCCATTCCAGGTGCGGCACTGTGGAGTTGGTGAAGCTCATGCACGACGGCTATCCCAACCGCTGTCGATTTCAGGAGATGCTGCGCTTTCGTGGCTTGGAAAGAATGGAGATGGATGCCATTGACGGTTACCCTCTGGTAAACTAAGATAACTATGGAAAATCATCATTTTTCATGGGAAAATTCACTATAAATGGTGATTTTCCGTAGTTATGTTAGTCATTACCAGAGGGTAGTTTCCGAATGAAACTTACTTTCAGATGGTACAGATTTCCACAGATTGGGCTTTGGCTGCTCACTGCTCACTATGACTCGGGAAATTTAAGATCACCTCGAGGTGGTCGATTGTCGGGGGATTGTCGCCAGGAATTTTCACTCAACCCGTGGCCAACCAGTTGAGTATATCTGGGTAAAGATCAGCTGGTTCAAAACTCCACTTCTCACTATATTTTGCTGAAGATGGGGCAATCCACCAACCTGTTTCGCAATAGTTTTGTCGACCCTTGGCGCAATACTTTTGCAATGCCAGAGGGGTGAGCAACAGCCATGAGCCGCAGGTGATTTGCTGCCGGAAAGCTTTCAAAGGTATGGGACCCGCACCTTTATCGAGGCCCTTCTGCTGGCCTACGATGTTCCTGTTGAGGAGAGGGCTTTGGGTCTGATTTTCCGGATGCACCCCATCTTGGAAAATACTCTTCACACAGAGAGGCTTCGAATGCTGAGACAGTGCCAACAGAGATTAAAAGACTCTGCAGTATAAATGAGAAAAAGAAAAGATAACGACTGTATCATCAGCCACTCATGGCTATGTACTCATCCTCACTTTCAGCACATAGCGAAATGCCCTGAATATCTGCGTTCCAGTGCTTTTGTACCTCACGCGACCATCGCCGTTCACCAGGACTGGGCCCTGGGCATGTCACGAGTCTTTCTGCGGGCTGGACAGCTCAAGGCCTTGGAGGATCTCCGGAGTGCCGGCGCTGCACCGGATCCGGAGAAGCTGAAGATCATCATGCGGCAGATCATTCGGAAGAAATGGGTTCGGGCCGTTCATGCCATCGGCTTGTGCCGCTATTTGCCAGAGCTTCTTGTTGTGAAATGGTGGGCCGGCTGATGTGACAAAATGGTGCATCGTAGATCGAAAGAATTGAAATAGAGCAGGAAGGGCGGCAAGTGGGCCATGTGTGCCAGGTGTTGCCCTCCTGTTGGTGGACATCCTGTTGCAAGAGTAGCTGGTTTTTGGCACTGTTGTGGAATTTCTATGTCTATGAATGCCTTACTTTTTGAATCCCATAATTTGTTATCCAGTTGCTCCATTTGTGGATGATTTTTCCGTCCCAGCGGATCGGAATGATTACAGGGAATCCCTAAGTTCTGTTGGTAAAAAAGTGTGCTGTTGGTTTCCAGTGAATTTCCACGTCGTCCAGGTTCCTGGCTGCCATTCGCCTGAAACGCGCTGAGCAGGCTCTGGCCACGAAAGCTCTTCTGGTTGGGAGGCTGCATAGCTTGTTGGAAGCTGCCAGGCCTGCTGGAGCCTGATGCTGTCATTGGGTTGCCATGAGCCCTCCTGTTTTGCAATGTAAAGCAGATGGTTTCCTCCGATTTCATACAAATTTCCGCTTTGTCATCTTTGTCCAAGTTGGGGATACTTATCCCTTCCCTTCAAATAATATAAACAAGGCCCACAGAAACGCTGGTTTTTGTAGTGTATTCGTTCATTTTGGGATCCCCGGATCCAATTTTTTGTTGAATTCCATCGTTTTGAGGAGGTTGAATTTGCAAATTCCAGATATTTTCATGATATTTCTGTGTGTTTGGATGGGCAAATTCCAGAGTATGCTGGTGTCTGTTCACGGTGAGCCCTTGGCCGATTCGGGGTGGATCCAATGGCGCAGAAGCCGTTTGTGGGAGAAGCGACAGCGGGCCTTGCGACGATGGCGGGTGGCCTTCTACACAGTGAGCCTCGCGCGGAGTCTCATGGTGCAGGTGAGAAATGGTGAGAAATGGTGAGAAACGTCCAGTTGCTGCCAGAAAATGCCAGAAACGATGAAACGACGGGGGGATGGGTTGAAATCTCAGATTTGGTGCACCATCTCACCTTTTTGGCATCAAACTGTAACTTTAATGCGTGCGGTTGGACCCTCTTTGAGGGTGTGGTGAAGCCCGGTGGTGCATGGTGGTGCCAGGCACGAGCTCGACGCCTCCAGAAAGCCATGCGGAAGTTCTGGCTTCTTCGCACCAGGCAGAGGGATGGGATCTCGGCAGAAAACCAGGAATCATGGGGAATCCAAATCCCATTCGAATATGGGTTTGTCTGAAAATAGTGTACCCCTACACCCAATGGTTTTGCTGATCATTATCCCTACTAAATGGCTATAATTGGAGGTATACCCCATTTTCAGACATACCCATATGAATGGGCAAATTATCAACTGAGGTTTACACATGTTCGTTTGGATTTGAATGGGATGATCATTTGGATTCCTATGGGATAATCATCTTGTGTAAACCAATCTTAAATTGATGATCTTAAAAAAAGGTTTACACAAGACTATGCCTACGATATGCGTGTTTCAAGAATTGGGATACCCCAATTTGGTGGTCTTCTTGGTTAGTTCATCCCCACTCTTCAGTATCTTGCTGGGATAGATTTACAGCGGCGCACCTGTGTTGCAGGCTCCATGAATGGGCAACAAACAAAGCCGAGGAGGATGGGCAGCATATTTCCATAATTTTCCATATATTTCTGTAATGTGAAAGAACAGAACAGTCAGAACATGTCAGTGGCAGACTAACCAGTCTTGCTCGTTTTGAGGGTGCAGCTCCTGTAAGCTCCAAGTTACCCAAGCAATGTTGCTTTCTGCGAAGGATATTGCGGATATTCCGAATACGTGTCAAGTTTTTTGGGCTCCTGATTGGCATATGATAGGCAGCCCGTGATGCAGCTGGTCATATGCTAAGTACCTTCCGGGAACGCAGGCAGTGCTGGAAGCAGAACGCAGAGCTGCAGAGGAGGCCGCAGCTCCCTGGAGAGATCTGGACTTGTTTGACCAGACTTCAGCCACCAGATTAAGATTTGGAGACGAGAAGTGGCAACAAAACCCCTGTTGGTTGAAGATTATGGGGGTTATATATGGTTATATACTACCAAATATATTGCTGATTATCATCATAATCGGGAATCCCTATCAACCCACCACTATGGAATGACCGAGGGTTTTGAACACGGCTCAATTGAACTTAAATCCATGGCGACTGAATGTCCCAAGCTGCCCTTTCGCTTCTCTGCCTGTAGGAAAGACTGGAAGCAGAGCGACAAAAAGCAGAGGAACAGGCCAAATTCTATCTCTTCAGTTTCATGCTGCTAGACAGTTTCTGGTGGCTGAAACTATTTCTGTTGCATCAATAGCTGAAGGAATGTGGTGTTACAGTAGCAGCTTGCTCAGTGGTCATTCTTGAGTCCCGTGATCTTCAACTGCGTGCCTCTGGAGAATATATTCAAAAATGAAAGGAATGTGTAGATACAGTATAGATGTCTGATTGGTGCCCCTGCTGTTGGTGGCCATTACGCCCTTGACACATTTTTCCTAACATGGTTGGTGGAAAACACTTTGTCCTTGGAAGGAAAGGGGGGCCCTCATACGTTGAAATGTGTTCATGTACGGGCTCATATAAGGAAGACTGGTGTCTGCTTTTCCAACAGCATATTGTGGAAGGACAGCATGCAGATGTTTCAAAGTGCTGGTTGGTTGTTTGAATAAAAGTGCAGGCAAGACAAGCAGAAGCCAGAAGAAGGGCTGAGGAAGAGGCCTTTGAAATTCAATTGCCAGATGCAAATCCTGCCCCGGTAGCAGTGCAGACGGACATGCGACTTGTTGTTGCTTGATTTGTGTCAGTCACGAGAAATGACAGTTATGAGAGCCAATTTGTCTCATTCCATTTTTGGTGTGGAGATTGTTGAAACAAATTGGATACATGGATGGCTGACGTGGGTCGGCGCATGTTTGTGACGAAGCTTCTTCTGTAGGCAAGGCTTGAGGAGGAGCGTAGAGTGGCGGAGGAAGAGGCCGCTGGAGACTCTTGTCAAAAGTGAAAGGATTGTGTAGATCCAGTATAGATGTCTGATTGGTGCCCCTGCTGTTGGTGGCCATTGCGCCCTTGACACATTTTCCTAACATGGTTGGTGGAAAACACTTTGTCCTTAGAAGGAAAGGGGGGCCCTCATACGTTGAAATGTGTTCATGTACGGAATATATAATCGTGTCAGCTTTTCCGACAGCATATTGTGGAAGGCAAGCATGCAGATGTTTCAAAGTGCTGGTTGGTTGTTTGATTAAAAGTGCAGGCAAGACAAGCAGAAGCCAGAAGAAGGGCTGAGGAAGAGGCCTTTGAAATTCAATTGCCAGATGCAAGTCCTGCCACGGTAGCAGTGCAGACGGACATGCGACTTGTTGTTGCTTTATTTGTGTCAGTCACGAGAAATGACAGTTATGAGAGCGAATTTCTCTCATTCCCTTTTTTGGGTGTGATTGTTGAAACAAATTGGATACATGGATGGCTGACGTGGGTCGGCGCATGTTTGTGACGAAGCTTCTTCTGTAGGCAAGGCTTGAGGAGGAGCGTAGAGTGGCGGAGGAAGAGGCTGCTGGAGACTCTTGTCAAAAGTGAAAGGAATGTGTAGATCCAGTATAGATGTCTGATTGGTGCCCCTGCTGTTGGTGGCCATTGCGCCCTTGACACATTTTCCTAACATGGTTGGTGGAAAACACTTTGTCCTTGGAAGGAAGGGGGGCCCTCATACGTTGAAATGTGTTCATGTACGGAATATATAATTGTGTCAGCTTTTCCGACAGCATATTGTGGAAGGCAAGCATGCAGATGTTTCAAAGTGCTGATTCATGCAGCTCCCCTTTAGATACCTTTTGCTGCCGTGTGCTCCCCTCCTTTTCCTTTGGGGTCACTGCACAGGCTTATGTAGAGTAGCATCGTGTAATCTTGAAGCCATTAATTTCAACTTGGGTGCTGGTTGGTTGTTTGATTAAAAGTGCAGGCAAGACAAGCAGAAGCCAGGAGAAGGGCTGAGGAAGAGGCCTTTGAAATTCAATTGCCAGATGCAAGTCCTGCCCCGGTAGCAGTGCAGACGGACATGCGACTTGTTGTTGCTTGATTTGTGTCAGTCACGAGAAATGACAGTTATGAGAGCCAATTTCTCTCATTCCCTTTTTTGGGTGTGATTGTTGAAACAAATTGGATACATGGATGGCTGACGTGGGTCGGCGCATGTTTGTGACGAAGCTTCTTCTGTAGGCAAGGCTTGAGGAGGAGCGTAGAGTGGCGGAGGAAGAGGCCGCTGGAGACTCTTGTCAAAAGTGAAAGGATTGTGTAGATCCAGTATAGATGTCTGATTGGTGCCCCTGCTGTTGGTGGCCATTGCGCCCTTGACACATTTTCCTAACATGGTTGGTGGAAAACACTTTGTCCTTAGAAGGAAAGGGGGGCCCTCATACGTTGAAATGTGTTCATGTACGGAATATATAATTGTGTCAGCTTTTCCGACAGCATATTGTGGAAGGCAAGCATGCAGATGTTTCAAAGTGCTGATTCATGCAGCTCCCCTTTAGATACCTTTTGCTGCCGTGTGCTCCCCTCCTTTTCCTTTGGGGTCACTGCACAGGCTTATGTAGAGTAGCATCGTGTAATCTTGAAGCCATTGATTTCAACTTGGGTGCTGGTTGGTTGTTTGATTAAAAGTGCAGGCAAGACAAGCAGAAGCCAGGAGAAGGGCTGAGGAAGAGGCCTTTGAAATTCAATTGCCAGATGCAAGTCCTGCCACGGTAGCAGTGCAGACGGACATGCGACTTGTTGTTGCTTGATTTGTGTCAGTCACGAGAAATGACATTTATGAGAGCGAATTTCTCTCATTCCCTTTTTTGGGTGTGATTGTTGAAACAAATTGGATACATGGATGGCTGACGTGGGTCGGCGCATGTTTGTGACGAAGCTTCTTCTGTAGGCAAGGCTTGAGGAGGAGCGTAGAGTGGCGGAGGAAGAGGCCGCTGGAGACTCTTGTCAAAAGTGAAAGGATTGTGTAGATCCAGTATAGATGTCTGATTGGTGCCCCTGCTGTTGGTGGCCATTGCGCCCTTGACACATTTTCCTAACATGGTTGGTGGAAAACACTTTGTCCTTAGAAGGAAAGGGGGGCCCTCATACGTTGAAATGTGTTCATGTACGGAATATATAATTGTGTCAGCTTTTCCGACAGCATATTGTGGAAGGCAAGCATGCAGATGTTTCAAAGTGCTGATTCATGCAGCTCCCCTTTAGATACCTTTTGCTGCCGTGTGCTCCCCTCCTTTTCCTTTGGGGTCACTGCACAGGCTTATGTAGAGTAGCATCGTGTAATCTTGAAGCCATTGATTTCAACTTGGGTGCTGGTTGGTTGTTTGATTAAAAGTGCAGGCAAGACAAGCAGAAGCCAGGAGAAGGGCTGAGGAAGAGGCCTTTGAAATTCAATTGCCAGATGCAAGTCCTGCCACGGTAGCAGTGCAGACGGACATGCGACTTGTTGTTGCTTGATTTGTGTCAGTCACGAGAAATGACAGTTATGAGAGCGAATTTCTCTCATTCCCTTTTTTGGGTGTGATTGTTGAAACAAATTGGATACATGGATGGCTGACGTGGGTCGGCGCATGTTTGTGACGAAGCTTCTTCTGTAGGCAAGGCTTGAGGAGCAGCGTAGAGTGGCGGAGGAAGAGGCTGCTGGAGACTCTTGTCAAAAGTGAAAGGATTGTGTAGATCCAGTATAGATGTCTGATTGGTGCCCCTGCTGTTGGTGGCCATTGCGCCCTTGACACATTTTCCTAACATGGTTGGTGGAAAACACTTTGTCCTTAGAAGGAAAGGGGGGCCCTCATACGTTGAAACGTGTTCATGTACGGAATATATAATTGTGTCAGCTTTTCCGACAGCATATTGTGGAAGGCAAGCATGCAGATGTTTCAAAGTGCTGATTCATGCAGCTCCCCTTTAGATACCTTTTGCTGCCGTGTGCTCCCCTCCTTTTCCTTTGGGGTCACTGCACAGGCTTATGTAGAGTAGCATCGTGTAATCTTGAAGCCATTGATTTCAACTTGGGTGCTGGTTGGTTGTTTGATTAAAAGTGCAGGCAAGACAAGCAGAAGCCAGGAGAAGGGCTGAGGAAGAGGCCTTTGAAATTCAATTGCCAGATGCAAGTCCTGCCACGGTAGCAGTGCAGACAGACATGCGACTTGTTGTTGCTTGATTTGTGTCGGTCACGAGAAATGACAGTTATGAGAGCCAATTTCTCTCATTCCCTTTTTTGGATGTGATTGTTGAAACAAATTGGATACATGGATGGCTGACGTGGGTCGGCGCATATTTGTGACGAAGCTTCTTCTGTAGGCAAGGCTTGAGGAGCAGCGTAGAGTGGCGGAGGAAGAGGCCGCTGGAGACTTTATTCAAAAATAAAGAGGATTGTGTAGATACAGTATAGATGTCTGATTGGTGCCCCTGCTGTTGGTGGTCATTACGCCCTTGACACTTTTTCCCTAACATGGTTGGTGGAAAACTTTGTCCTTGGAAGGAAAGGGGGGCCCTCATACGTTGAAACGTGTTCATGTACGGAATATATAATTGTGTCATATTGTGTCAGCTTTTCCAACAGCATATTGTGGAAGGACAGCATGCAGATGTTTCAAAGTGCTGGTTGGTTGTTTGATTAAAAGTGCAGGCAAGACAGGCAGAAGCCAGAAGAAGGGCTGAGGAAGAGGCCTTTGAAATTCAATTGCCAGATGCAAGTCCTGCCACGGTAGCAGTGCAGACGGACATGCGACTTGTTTTTGCTTGATGTTCCATGCAATTATCATTTCAGAATGCGCAGAACTTTTGGGTTCTTTTCGGTCATAAGGTCATGCTTGGCGTAGATTACTTTGCTCACAGAAGAATTCTGCAATGGACTCGGCTCAAGGCAAGACTTGAGTGCTGTAGAGCAGAGAATGAGGCCACCGGGAACTGGACTAGAGTTAATCTAGAGGAATTCTTGGCTATGGAGTAGTGGTTGAGAAGACCCAACTTACTCATGCAACATTTCAGGAAAAGGATGCATGGTGATGGAAACGATTTCAGACAGGAGAATAGAATTAGAATCCGACTAATAAATACTAATAATTGGAATACGCATGATGAATCACAATGTAAATTCAAAGTATTTCTGTATATCCAAAGATATGAGATATTTCACTATTGAAACCACCCAGAATTTCTGTATATCCCCCCTGAAACCACCAAGACTGGCACCTGTCAGCAGAGGAACTTGACCACCCTATCCATCCTGAGGACGACTCAGAATGATTTCCCCCAATTGGGTTACCACCATTTTTTCTGGGATTGTCATAACTGATGATGGGAATCTTAGAAGAAACTTGCACTATTAGACTATAGGCTGTGGCTATTTTTTTTAAAAAAAGATTTTATTTTGACATGCAATTTGCATTTTGTTTTTTGTTGCCATGTGTTTTACCATTTTTTTCCCAGCTGTCATTTTCATAATCATGGTTTTGTCATTTCTTTCGTCATACTTGTCTTTTTTTTTTGAACTTTGTCATTTCCAATCTAAGCCCAGGTTTCATCAGAGATTCATCAGCCATACATTGGGATTTTGATGATTTTCAGACATCAAGTTTCCTATTTATCAACTGTTCCTATTCGAAATTTTTGCATAGGACAGGGGTCATGGTGGCCATGGTGGCCAGGAGCGCCGCATGCCATTGATGGACGTCCCGTCTCCATGCCGCAGCTCCCCTCGTGGTAGGTCCAGCAAGTCGAGTGGATCACTGTTCTGGTAAAATTTGAAGGTACCAAGAGGTGAGAATATCACCACAGATTGGGTCCATGATAGCGATGCCATGACCAAGATTGACCAAGCCATCGAGTTTCGATGATGGGAATTGGAGTTTGGATCGCCGAACGGATGTCTGGTTTGGGTAACATTGGAAATCATTGGAAGTTTTCAGGACCAGTTGCCACTCTGAAAACATCAAAGCCGTGCTTTCAGGCAGCTGCAAAGCTACGAAGCGGTGCAGGCCGTAGGGATGACTACCTGTTGATCCTGTACAGTACCTGCTGAACAGTTCGCAGTGGATTCTCATCATTTTGATCTGAGCGTGGAGGGATGTCCGCCAGTGCCTACAGGTGGTGGAAGAGCCGGAGGACATGGCGGCGGGTTTGGCGGTAGCTTTCGGCCAAGAATTTTCCATCTGAGCTTCTGAGATTACAGTTCCCCAGTTCCCATACTGTAGATCAATACACTTATCCGCATTACCCTCTGGTAAACTAACATAACTATGGAAAATCACAATTTTTCATGGGAAAATCCACTATAAATGGCCATTTTCAATAGCTATGTTAAATTACCAGAGGGTAGATTTCCATTTCAACAATAACAATATCTCAAGTGGGATTCTGAAAGTCCTGGCAGGAGGATCCAATCTTGGACGTCAATGTGAGCGACTTGGAAGGAAACCTGGGTCACTTGGATGCACAGAACGTGTGCAGAGGCTGAAGAAAGGCGACGAAGGTATGAGATTTTGATACAATCGAATCGCATCCAAAATTACCTACTGTGCATAGATATAATTGGTAAAGTTATATTCCTGCTGCATATACATATATATATATAATATAATATAATATAATATATAATATAATAATATAATAATATATAATATATAATATATAATATATAAAATATAAAATATAAAATATAATACATAATACATAATATATAATATATAATATATAATATAAGATATATAATATATAATATATAATATATAATATATAATATATAATATATAATATATAATATATAATATATAATATATAATATATAGTATATAATATAATATAAAATATATAATATATAATATATAATATATAATATATAATATATAATATATAATATATAATATATAATATAATATAATATAAAATATAATATAAAATATAATATAATATGATATGATATTATATTATATTATATAATATGTATGTATACGCACTAGATGTACGTATATACGTATGTGCACACAGAAATACATCGTATATACTCAGGTGATCTCTCCTGTGTCCTGGACGGCCGTCCAAGGACCATTTCTGAAGAACTTGCTCGAACGCCAATGCCAATTGGTGGAAAAGGAAGTGGAGAAGAGGCACAACAAAATGGATGCGCAGTCGAACTCTGTCGAAATGTTTGCGACATACCGTGTATATCTTATGTATATATATATATATATTCATGTATTATAATATATATATATAATCCCATATATGCCACATATTTTAGATATAATGCTGGTTGAGAGACTTTGCAGTGCTGTTTCCTGATGGAAGACTTTCCAAGGCAAAATGCCCTGATCAGCCAAATGGATGCGCTGATGGACCGCCAGTCTCTGTGGCTTGTCACGGAAAAGTTGCCATGTATAGTTTATACATATGGTATTATGGTAGGTATATTAGATATTCCTAATTAATTACATTACTATCATCACATTGCATACTATTATATTCATAGTAATTATGGTAGGTAGATTATAGTTATATAATATATATATATATCATCACATTACTATTAAATTCTGGTATGATTCTCATGGATTTTCTCGGGGATCCAGTCTCGCTCAGGATCCAGGCCAGAATGGATGATCTTGATAGACACGGCTTCAAGGAGAACCGATCGGAGATCGACGGGATTGTGTCAAGTGGCAGATATCCATGGTAAACACCTAGATACACATAGACACATAGACACAACGTACATACATATTTAACACATACACTATATACATACTCATATACTACATATACATAATATAATATAATATGATATAATATAATGTAATATAATATGATAGAATCAAAGGAAGTTTGGAAGTCTAAACTCCGTTATACGGCAAATATGGTCAAGAGGAACAATACATCATCACACCAATAAATAATCACAATAATAAAGAATCACAAATAAATATTCACAACAATAAATAATCACAAATAGATAGTCATAAGTCACAAATGAACAATCACAACAATGAATATTATATTCACAACAATCAAGAATAACAAATACATAATCGCAACAATAAACAATCACACATAGATAGTCATAAATTAATAATCACAACAATGAATATTATATTCACAACAATAAATAATCACAACAATAAATAATCACAAATACAGAATCACAACAATAAATCAATAATCATAAATAAATAATCACAACAATAAATAGTCACCTCACAGCTACATAATCACAACAATAAATAATCACACATACATAACCACAACAATAACAAATAAGAGTAGGGATGTGGAGGGATCAGAGATGGAGAGAGCATGTGGAGAGATTAGAGATGGAGAGAGTAGAGATGTGGTGCAGGATTGCAATGGAACTACTGCGTCAAGGTGATGTCTGGGTGTTGGAAATCGCACGAAACCCTGTGTTTTCTCGCATAAAGTGGCTCCCGGCATCGAGGGGTCTGTGCGACTAGAGTAGGGAACTGAAGAGAGTCAGGTCCCAGGCTCCTGAGCTGTCAACAAGAGAGAGGCTGTCAAGAATCAGAGATGACAAGCACAAGCCGGATCAAGAGAAAGTGGCATCATCGGGCAAGGATGTGAGGAAGAAATGTCAGGGAGAAAAAGATGTCCAGACAAGCAGCAAGCAAGCGAAAGGTCTGCGAAGATGCAGAAATGTCAGGAGCAAGCCAGATCAAGAGAGAGTGGCAGCATGAGACAAAGATGTCGAGAATTCAGAAACGTCAAGGACAAAGACTTCCAAGAGATCACGCAGTCGACGGCCGTTCCAGCCAGGCGGTCAGGGGCCATTCCTATAGGCTCTCCCTTGTCTTTGTAGGTTCTTCCCTCTCTCGAAGCTTCCGTCACCCGGCTTGCCCAGGCTCTACTTGTATAGGCTCTATATACATGCATGCATCCATCCACCCACCCATCCATATGTCCATATAGTGACTGTGCAGGAGGCGTCATCCTGGGGCACTCCACCCAGGGCTGTGGACACTCCGCCGATCAAAACTTCACCCTTTAGCAGCGCTACGCAGGACACCCAAGGGCAACAAAACTGGTGACATTGAGATGGGAATGGGATGTTGAACCATCAAAAAAAATGGTAAATTTAAGTTTTGACCATTGGACCATTGGAAGAACCAAACATATTTTTTTGTTGCCTATCAACTACTTAAGTTCGTAAACAACCAAGACCGGGAAGGTTTAACCAACCAAATATCTCCATACATGGGGATTGGACAATCAAACTCCACAATTCTAGCCAAGCAAAAATGTGATTTCTAAATGGGAGTTTGGTTGTGTGTCATTTCACCGACCATCGGTTGGGGAATGGATTCAAAAAGAACCAACGATGGGGTGAGAACCAGGGTAACTTCCAAACTCTGCCTCTGTGCCGTTAAACAGCGGTGCATTTCTTCCATGTCAAACGGACAGGAAAAGGCGAGGCGCTTTGAGGACAATCGGGAGAATCTGGCGGAACAGCGCTGCTCGCACTGCAAAAACTTTTGGAGTGGCTTTCGCTTCATATGGAGATTCAAGTGTCATCAATTGTCTGAGCTTTACCTGGATTCTGCCGTCTTGCCTGATATGGGTGCTATGTCCAGGGGTGGCTGCCACGGACCACACGACTTGACATTATGTCACTGGTTAAGAATCTAAAGTACCCGAGCCGAATCTTTTGGCATGTCCCCAACTCTCAAACCTCCGCCTGAGTGGTTCAAGAGCAGCAGCTGGCCTAGTGCAGTTGAATTCTGTTCCCAGGTCAATATTTGATGGCAGATCTACACAACCATCCAAGCCCTGTGAGACGAACACCGCGAACGCCAGATACCGGCAGTGTGAGGCCAGGTTTTTTGCGAGCTCCAAGTCTAGAACTTGCAGTCCATTCCTCCATTTTTCCCGTGACTTTCAGCAGGTATGGCGACAGGGAGAAGTGTTTGGACACATTCCGGAGATCTGTGGCTGTGGAGTTCCTGCAGATGAATCATTCCATCCGTTTCAGAGATACTTGAACCACCATGTCAACCACCAGCAGCTCTTAGTATTTGCTCGCAACCCATGGACCCATGGGTTTCTACAGTTGTTTCCATGACACCAAGGTTAGACGAACAGCCCTATGTGTCAACAGGTTGCATCACTCCCGCCACCTGGCTGACATTTTCATGGTTGACATCCTTCGTGTTGCCCGGGTGTTGCTGACGTGGCAAGAAAACCTAGGAAAAAGAAGAATGCACCCGACTACAAAGAGAATGGTGGGGACAGCAGCGAAGGTATTTGATGAAGGACAGACTCCAGCTCTATGAAACGTAGCGTCCCACTTGCGTAGTTGAGGAAAAACACATACTTGCGTTGCAGGCACCTTGGATATTTTGGGACTCCCTATTGGGATGAAGGTGTGGATGTTCACGTTTTTTGCCGAGCAGGAGCTTGAGAAAGATCGTGGTCTTGGGGGTCATGGCCACTCATGGACGTCTGCTTCTGAGTTTTGACATTCTCAACGGCCGCCCTTTAGGATCAACTAGTCAAGATGAAAACCAAAATCCGAATGGGTCGTGCTATCAATCCCTTTCCCCTAAATTATATGCACAGAAACCATGGTACTGGATCTACTCGTTTTGGGGTCGCATGGAGATATTCAATACCTGGTTGAGATTACTGGATGGCTTTCTCCGATTCAAAACCAGGCGCACAGCTAAATCCGCTAAGGCCTCCGAGCAACAAAAGCCCGGGGCCGTTGAGCAGCGCGCTGCGCTGAGGGACAGCGTCAGCCATCAGCTCAAAGAAAGCTGCAAGTCAGCTAGCTGAATGGTAGCTTCTGAATGGTAGTTTAGGATAGTGTAGGCCAATATATAAACCAGTATAAATTACAAACCAGTCATTCCAATCATTTCGCCATCCTTTCGGATGGTAATTTCTTGTGATCTTTTGCACTTTGAGATTCATCGGCATTGGTGTTGTCACCTGGAAGCACACACGTCGTGCTTGGATCGGAGGAGCGTCTTTAGAACCTCTAGAAACAGTCACAGTATTTGTGTATCAGATGATGACATCAGAGATCCAGAACAAGACATGGATGGAGGATGATGAAAATCCGGTGTAAGCTTTGCAAAATTTGCATCAAGGACGGCCCTGTGGCTGTTCATGTGACACGGAGGCCTCCAATTGGCTCCTGCCGTGTTCTGCATGGCACGTCAGACCGGGAGACCGGAAGTGTTCTCAGCTGTCTAATTCACCCGGCGACCGTTTTGGCGCCGGTGCTCCCTGGAGTTTTTTGGCTGTCGTCCCTTGGTAGCGTGAGCTTCCTCAAAGCGACCTTGTGTAATCCATGAATCTATCAGAACCTATTGTCTTTGTCTGATCTTGTGGCTGGAAAAGACCTGCATTTTCTCATTTGAGATCGGAATTCTGGCAAGCTGCTGACCCTGGTCGCTGATCTCTTGTAGAGCTGCCGTTCCTGCACGCGGCGCAGTAAAAAGGCAGAGGAGTCGGGACCTGGGTTGCCTAGAGTCTCCACCTTTTCATCCAGGAGATTCCCGGTCATTTCTCGACCCTGTCTGCTCCAGATACAAACAGGACCATTGCTATAGGTATTCCCAGCCACAACAATCAACTCGCGTTCATGGCTCAAGTTTATGAACCAAAGCTGCGACGCGCGAGGAACTGCGTGGCTTGGCGGATGATTTTTGGGCTCTCCGGGCTCTCCACAATTCATGGATGAACATGTAGGATTTTTTTTCGGGAAAACGATGATCAACCATTGGATGACTTTGAGGTACTCCCATTACCCCAGAGATGATATACCGGCCCATTTTCAGAATGATGGGGGATTTGTCATTGCTGTTTGAGCCAAGGGGTATGCCGGGCGCGTCAGACTTCAAGGCAGGGCTCCTGCTTGGGGCGCTGTGCCATGGGCGAAACATGCCTTGTTGAACCCGGTATTGAGGGTCATCCATCCATTTTCATAGGGATTTATAATCCATATCAATCCATTGAGTTCGGGTTTGATATACTCATTCACATACATTATATACGTAATATAATATAATATATCGATGATATGATATGATAATATCACGTATATATATATACACACACACACCGTAAGGATTTCTTTGGCTTCCCATGGCGGATGACTTTCGGCGCTGATCTGCTTGAGGTGAAGGACTTGGTGTACGTGCCATGTGAGGGCAAGGTGCGCTGTTTTCAGTGCTGCTGACCGGGTTGGGTCAAACTTTTTCGCCAAAATCTGGAGAACAAAAATGGATGGCTTTTACCACAGAATTACTCTCTGGTAAATAAACATAGACCCTGAAAATGGCCAATATTTAATGGAAACTAGTCTTCCAACCCCGACAACTGCCAGGGTCTATGTTAATTTACCAGAGAATTCATGTTTCTGTTTGGCAATCCACCAAAGATTTTTCAACAGATCTCTGTGAACTTCCGTTAGGAGGTGCCCTTTCTCGCTGGCCTTGTGCAGCAGATCGAAGGCAGCGAAGCCGTAGAGCACTCAGCGACGCAGGGAGTTCCTAAGTCATGGTAGCCCAATAGATGGTTTACCGCAGTTTACTTGGTTTACTTCATGGAAAAACCATAAAATTAGGATTACTGGTACCCCCATGGCTTCTCAACTGGAGCTTCAAGTTGGTGAGGTGATCCAGGTGGCAGATGAGCAACTGCGTTTTCCCCTTGGAGAATTGCGGCGTCGCTTCAAGCGCGATGATGGCGCAACATGTGCCTCGATCGAATCTTTTAGCTGGTTTCATCCCTCCTGACGACACGGCTTGAGGCGACGACAACACCTCCTTAGTCCACCTGAACGATGCCACCATTTTGGAGAACTTGAAGGCACGACATGAGGCGCCTCGGCCCACAGTTGATCTGGTTTGGAATGTTTAGAAAACCCGTGGGCTGGTGAACTGAGGCAGATGATATCTATACCTACACTGCCAGTGTATCTTGGTTGGAGATGGAGTTGCTTGAAGATGCAAGACGATTGAAGATGCAAGAAGACTTAGGAGTCTGAACAGGTCCAATGGGAAATTCTGTCCACAGTGATAGGTACAGGATGGTATGTGTATGTGCATTTAAACAAATATATACACATACGTATATAATTATATATATATATATGTACATACATACATACATACATACATACATACATACATACATACATACATACATACATACATACATACATACATACATACATACATACATACATCATACATACATACATACATACATACATACATACATACATACATACATACATACATACATACATACATACATACATACATACATACATACATACATACATACATACATACATACATACATACATACATACATACATACATAGATACATAGATACATAGATACATAGATACATAGATACATATATACATAGATACATAGATACATAGATACATAGATACATAGATACATAGATACATAGATACATAGATACATAGATACATAGATACATAGATACATAGATACATAGATACATAGATACATAGATACATAGATACATAGATACATAGATGCATAGATGCATAGATGCATAGATACATAGATACATAGATACATAGATACATAGATACATAGATACATAGATACATAGATACATAGATACATAGATACATAGATACATAGATACATAGATACATAGATACATAGATACATAGATACATACATAGATACATAGATACATAGATACATAGATACATAGATACATAGATACATAGATACATAGATACATAGATACATAGATGCATAGATACATAGATACATAGATGCATAGATACATAGATACATAGATACATAGATACATAGATACATAGATACATAGATACATAGATACATAGATACATAGATACATAGATACATAGATACATCCATCCATCCATCCATCCATCCATACATACATACATACATAGATATAGAGATATAGAGATATAGAGATATAGAGATATAGAGATATAGAGATATAGATATATAGATAGATAGATAGATAGATAGATAGATAGACAGACAGACAGACAGACAGACAGATAGATAGATAGATAGATAGAGAGGGGGGGACTGAATGCATGTTTTTTGAGTTGCATGTTACTGATTTGCATGTAGCTCATGCTTTGGCCCTAGTGCTCAAAAACTATAAATCCTCGGGGTGACGTAAGAGATGTCAGTTGCTCAGCTTCCTCAGGTGCTTCTTGCCGTCAACCCATACAAGGACGTGAACGGGTACCATGCCTGCGACGGTCTTCAAGTTATGTTGTGAAGCCAAATGTTCACCACTCGGGGTCCCAGGAAGATCTTCCGAACATTGGAACATAATGGAACACGTACGAAACAACCGAAGATAACCGGCTTCAAATGTCAATGTCCTGGTGAGATCAACAAGGTCAGATTCATCGCCGAGGCTCTACGGAGAATCCCAGTGCAAGAGATATCGGGGGAAGCACATTGGAGCTTTGCCTCCACATCCGTATGCCATTGCCGACACAGCCTACCGGGCCCTGGTGACTTGACGATACTTGACGTGTGACCGTAGAGATTTTGGAACACTGGGTTAGTATGAACCTCTTTGAACATGTCACATGCACACACACACACAAATCGATGGTTTCAACATGTTTGAGCAGAGACACATGGCTTCCAAGAATGAAATTGACTACCTCCGTCTGACTGCCGTGGCAACTGTGCGATATTTGTAGTGACTTGTCAGACGCAGCACACTTCCCACCCCATGTTTCCTGTGAAGGTTCGAGACCGCAAAAATCAGGGCTTCATCATTTCTGGCGAAAGTGGAGCTGGAAAGACTGAGACCGCCAAGATTGTCCTTTGATACGCTTTGGTTCTGTTTGTTTGTTTGGTTGTGGCAGTGCTAATTGCACCGGTTCACAGAAGACACCGAGTGGCCAGCCTGGGAATCTCAAAACGGCCACATATTCTATGCCTTGGCACTGAGGTTATGGAATACCTGGGCTATGTGTCGGGTTCAACAAATCAGAAGACAGTAGCCTGGAGTTAAATAGAGGCTTTCAATGGCTTTCACTGGCGCAGTTCAATGGCTTTCAATGGCTTTCAATGGCTTTCAATGGCTTTCAATGGCTTTCAATGGCTTTCACTGGCGAAGTTCAATGGCTTTCAATGGCTTTTAATGTACTATTGAAAGTATTGTTGCTTGAGACATACTTGCAGCCACTTTCTGAATCTGTTCCACGGGCCAAAGGGATAGATCCGGTGCCGGACGCTTCCGGTGGATTCCATCCAAGGAGCAGATCCAAAGACGGGTGCAACAAGCCCAGCCGATCCTGGAATCTTTTGGAAACGCAGTGACCATGAGGACTTCCGCGAAACGCGAAACGCAGTGTTCAATGATCAACCCTATTGGTTGTTCTGGTTAAGAGCGCGCAGGGTATTTTTGGCTTGTGCCTTTAATTTTCTCCTTCTTCTTCTTCTTCCTCCTCCTATTTTTATTACTAGTATATGTTTGTTTCCTCCTTCTTGCCTCGTCAGTTTCAAGATTATGCACCCTGCAATGGTTAATCAGGTCACCGCAACATTTTGGCAGGAACAACAACTCCTCTCGCTTCGGCAAGTACAATCGCGTCTTCTTTGATGAAACCGGCACTCTGGTTGATGCCTCTGTTTCTTGGAAGCTAATGGAATGTGAGCGACATGCTGTTCTACTACCCGATGATTTGAATGGCTTTTAGGACATGATACTTTTACACACCTTCAATCTATCAGAATCTATCAATATCTGAGTCACGTTCGGATCTGAAAGCAAATCATCAAGGCAACAGATTTCCGCTGGGCCATTTGGTCAATTTGGTCAGTGTGACTGCGAGACTTCGACCTTTAAGGTGACCACGTACCTGCTCGAAAGCTCCAGGGTGGTGGTTCACGCAAAACGCGAGCGAACATACCATTGCTTCTACGTTTCTTGCCACAGAATTTGGACTCTGCAAGCAAGATCGTGGAGCACAGGAAAACAACTCCGCGAGTCGTGCATATTTGTACTCTTTGATCCTTGTGAAATTTCTAAGTTTCAGGTGTGCCATGGTGTGCCCGAGTTCATCCATGAACGACTCAGGAGATGCTGCGAGGTTTGCCAGATGAAAAGCTGTCTAAGCTGCAGTTGCAACGGGACAAGCTCTATTTGCTGCTTGGAAGCGAGCCCACTGATTCTCAGGTGAACCGGTGAAATGGTGGGAGCTTGGAAAAATAGCAGTACTGGAAGATGGCAGCTGTTTGGCAGTGGCAAACTTCTGGGTGCGAAGTGCATCACATGGGAAGATGAAATCTGCTTCGAACATAGACATGTCGGTGCCTGTTGGAGCTTCGTCAGCTCACCAGTCAATTGGTTGCGTCGGACGTGTTTTCTGGGCAAACCACAGCATTTTTCGCAATCGATACGGATTCGGCTGAAGTGCCAGGACGATCCTGTCCAAGAGATGCAGTGGCATGCGCAGTTCAAGGCGGGACTGTGGGGGATGAAGAAGCGACTGTTGTTGGGTTCCTCTGTTCACGTAGCTACATTAAAATGCCTTGTGAATCTCATATATCGCAAACAAGTGGCTCAAGAAATCATTGGTCCACAATGTGATAATTAGATATAATTAGTGACCAACAGGCTTGAGCGTGGACAAAACTGTTTCGAGCTTCCTCTTTCTACAAGTATCTTAGCTTCACTCCCCGAGCCGAGCCAAAATACATGAAAAGGAAAGCCACTGATTTTTGAAAGTCTGCACCCTACCTAACACCTTAGCCATTCTTCCAATCACCTTCCACTTCCACTGTTCACTGGGCTCAACAGCAACAAATGACGCCAGAGCCTTCACCCATTTCAAAAAGACCCGCTTGGATGCATCCATTGACCATCAACCTTGAATGCATTTGTTCCATGCTTTTGTTCCAAAGAAGTCATTGGTGGCAACCAATGTGGACCCAATTTCTGGTTGTCATTGGCAACTGGCAGGAAAGGGATGCCAAACTCTTCCAACATCTCTGCAGCGCCCTGTCCACCGTGGGTTTCAGTGATGAAGAGATTGATTCCATTTTCCAGGCGGGGGACAAAGATCCGTCAAACGAAGATGGGCATATACCATGATATTACATTTTTTTTTTACATATACAGATATACATGGCTCATGGGCTGCAACTCTTGGAAGCAGCAGCTATCCCCAACTTCGACTGTCAGGTCTTGGCTGGTCTCGTGCATTTGGGCGACCTCTCGAACGCTGAAAAGGATGAAGGTGCGCTGGGTTGGTGGACTTCTAGCGGCCGAGAAAACATTGGTCAATGTTTAGTAAAACCATGGGTAAAACCCATCCAATTTGGGCAAATCAGAGGTATCAGAGAGACACTTTTGGCCGGATGAGTGCGACATATTTCGAGATATTTCGAGTCCTTGAAGAATCACATGTAGATGTGGGTTTGTCTGAAAATAGTGTACCCCAGTTAATGATCATTATCCCTACTAAATGGCTATAATTGGGGGTATACCCCATTTTCAGACATACCCATGTAGCTGTGGCGATCCGGCTCTCGGGCCATCAGGCGATGAGGCTGCAACGGTGCAGCTGGATGATCAGATCTTGGACAAGGTCGACAAAATCACACACCATTCAGGGTTTCTTAGGAATCAAGATGGCTTCATTGTTGGATTCCACAAGCAGTTTTTTTTTGTGTTCAAATGTTCCATGTTGGTCTCCTTTGATGTTTTTCATTAATATCAGAAACATGTCCCGTGTTGGTTCGTCATGTTTGGAAATAATGTAGCCCCAAGGCCCAAATCCATGGGATCATCATTTTCCCCATAAAAAAAGCCATTTGGTCAACAAACCACTTTCAGACACAGCCACCAAGATGATCCGATTCTTGGTGATCATGTGTAGATCTATTTTTCGAGACATTTGCAAAGAGCTATATATATATATCTAACAACCTCACTGTGACCTCACTGGAATCATGGTTAGTAAGGGAAATCATCCCCAAATGGCCGCAAGATTCAGGTTAGTGAATTATTATAATTTACCCAGATATATGTATTCTATCATCTATCTAATATATTACAATAAATAGATATGTTTAGATAACAAATCTTATAATATATATGGTCCATATGGTTATCTATCCAATGGATAATATGGTTATATATAGACATGATAATATCATAACCATCTAATGAAAATACAATATCCATCTAATGATTATCCATTAGATTATAAACTAGCCATTAAGTTTTGGTAATCCAGTCTTTCCATCTAATATATAGTACAGGAAAATAACAAAATTGCATATATATATAGATAGATAGATAGATACCTCATAACCATTGGACATATATATATATATATCCATCCATCCATCCATCCATCCATCCATCCATCCATCCATCCATCCATCCATCCACCTACATATATATCTTATTTTATCTCAATCCATATCTAACCAACTAACTATATATATATACACGTATATATAATATATATAGTATAACTATTGGACTAGTGGATTGGATATCATGGTGGTATTTACCGAATGGTGATATATATATATATATATAATCTAATATATCTAAAAGTTTTTGGATACCTGGAAGTTAGATATACCAGCTATATAACCATATATATATATATATTAGATATATTATATCTATAAGATATCCATCTATATCACCATATCCAGTTAGATACCATAGAACAATATATAATATATCTATAAATATACCATTGAATGGCGATAATTATAATATATCTATAAGTTTTTGGATACCATGGAAGTTAGATATACCAGGTATCTAAAAAGGTATCTATCTAACCAATGGATATATCTATATATACCATAGTAGGTATATTAGATAATACTATATAACCAGGTATTTATAATATATCTATTAGATATCTATATATACCCTCCAGTAAACTAACATGGCTATGGAAAATCACCATGTTTCACAGGTATATAAACTATAAATGGCCATTTTCAATAGCAAACTGTTAAATTACCAGAGGGTACCTACTATAAACATAGAAATAGTTGATTTACCCATTAAAAATGGTGGATCTTTCCATAGCTATGTTAGTTTACCAGAGGGTAATATTGTTCTATCTTTGCCCAGGCCTCCCAGCTGCTGGGCATGGACGCCGCCGAGCTGGGCGCCGCGCTGCGGCGCCGCAAGGTGCGCATCCAACACGCCGGGCGCGAGTCGCTGCACGAGGCGCGGTTCGCGTGAAAATCGGGGCACAAAAAGCGGAGAAAACGGGGGAAAACAGGGGAAAATCGCCCCGAAATTGGTGGAACATCATGGAAATCTGATGGAAAATCTGAAAATCTGATGGAAAATCTATGAAGATCTGATGAAAATCCCATGAACATCCCATGATTTCGGTCTGCAAAGTGGAAAATTCGACCGTAAATTGACGGATTTACAGATGATTTGCCTGATGAATAGATGAGTTGCCTGATGTTTCAGCTATTTGTAGATGATGAACTATTGTAAAAAACCATGGTGGTCTCTTGGTGTAGTTTGGTTTCCCTTACCTGCTGAGACCGTGAGACTGTGACAATCTCAACGGCACTGTGAATGGCTTGGTAGGGAATTCCCACAAATAAATGCCAGTGATTGGAAGTAAGTGGTTTGGTGTCCAATTCTCAAAGAACGAATTGGTGTTTTGAAGAGAACCTGAATCCTTTTTCAGTGGCAAAATCAGACACAGCGACGCCAAGATTTCTGTTTTCAGGTGCCACGCACCACATCGCAGTTTCGGCATGCCCTGCACAGCCTCATCAAGGCACTGTACAAAAGACTCTTTGAGCGTTTGGTTCAACGCATCAACAGCCCTTCGGCGCGGAAAGGTGATGTTGATTTGGGCACCTGGGGAAATTTGCTATGCTGAGGATGCAGTCCATCGATGTGAAACAGTTCTTATGAATCAGGGCCAAGAGTAGTGTATACTCTTGCATCTTTTTCTGGGGTGAAGGTGTTTATGTCAACCTACTTTCGCAACTGTGGCTACCAAGGTTCATTTGGTGAGTGGAGACAAGCGCCGGAGGAGGACCATGGTACTGGCCCGAAAGCTGGTATCACTGCTGACTGATCCCTGCACCAGGATGACCAATGGCACCAGATTGGCATCCTGGACATCTATGGTTTTGAACGCCTGCAACGCAACCTGGAACAAGAGCCGCGTTACAGACCTGGTATGTGTATATATAGATCATATATATATACACATATATATATATATATATACATATATATATATACATATATATATATACATATACATATATACATATATACATATATACATATATACATATATACATATATACATATATACATATATACATATATACATATATACATATATCATATATACATATATACATATATACATATATACATATATACATATATACATATATACATATATACATATATACATATATACATATATACATAGATACATAGATACATATATACATATATACATATATACATATATACATATATACATATATACATATATACATATATACATATATACATATATACATATATATATATATATACATATCATCTATCTATCTATATCTATATCTCTCTCTCTCTATATATATATTATATAAATTATCTATAATATGTATACATATACATGATATACATTATATACATGATATACATGATATATAGAGGTATTTCGATGATGAAGCTGTTCAGGAGTCTAGCAGGCTCTCATCACTGGTTTTAGTTTTTCTGTGTGCATCTCTTATTACGGCCAAGCGGGCCGTAGCCCAGGGAACTCCTTCGAGCAGCTGTGCATCAACTTGGCCAACGAACGACTGCAGCAGTATTTCGTTGAGAATCTTGGCAAGTGAGCTATTATAACAGGTTATTAACCTGGCTTATTGGGGATGATGATCACCTATAATAGTAACGATAGGGATACCTATCACTGAGTTTCTAGATGTTTATCGGGGATGATTATTGGGGATGATGATAAGAGATAATGAACGAGATACCTATCAAGCAGTATTTCATAGGATGGGAAAACGAAGCAGATCTGCGGTCCGCAAGATCTATGACTTCGATCGTTCCGAACCGGGTAGGGTACATCCCCGGCTTGAGGAACGTGTTGGTGGCCGAGCAGGAACTCTACAAGCGGGAAGCTTTGCCATGGGTGGGCCTCCCATTGCCTGATTCCACTCCAGTGGCCAAGCAACATTGGTGCTGCAGTGCTTTCTTTTGCTGTGTTTTTTTTTTCCCGCTTTTCAGGAGTGGGAGATAGTGGGAATAGGTTTGGATGACTATGCTCAGCTCGAAACTAGCCTGATTGGTTAAATAGCTGGGCAGCTACAGAGATGTTCTATCCAATGCATTTGTTGTCACCGATTTTTCTTAAGGTCGTCACGGCCATCGTGCAGACCTTCAAGACCCTGGATGAATATTCCCAGCAGTTGGCAAAAGGTCCGCCTCTGAAGATGTAAAGATCCTGAGTTCGTTTGAAGTAAATTTGAAACTTGTTTTAGGGGCCGAAGACTGTTCTAGAAGTCCGATATTGGCGACATTTACTCCAGATGAGGTGGCTTTGAACTAGTGTGGAGTGCCAAAGATGCTAATGGCACCAAATAAAGTGGCAGTGGCTCACAATTTCTCAGCAGGCTTCGAGAAGACTTCGGATGAATCATTTTGCCAGAAGACGGTGGAAGATTCCCAGAAAGATGCTTGGCGTTAGGGATTTGGCCCGCCTTCCTGCCTATCGGCATCTATCGGCTGTAGTGGTGTCAAAGGGGTACCCAATCTTGGGACCGGCCAAAGCATGCTAGAAAGGAAGCTGATGCCAATTACTGCAACTACAGCACAATGCCAACGCTTAGATACTCGTGGTGTTCACTTCACAACATGGATGGTGTATCTATGGTGTATGTTCAACCTTGAATTCTCCAACCTGCAGCTATTTCATTTTGACACCTTGAGCTTTGGCGGCACCCAATGGGGTCGGTTTCGCTGCTCAGGATACACAGCGGAAGGAAGTTCTTCGACCTTTGAAGATGTCCAACAAGCGTGGCAGCAAAGCCGGCATGGGCCTAGCGATGAACGAGGCATGGGGAACCATACCCCGGGGTTTACAGTTGGATTTGCCACAATTGCTGGAGCGATTTGATTCCCGCCCATTGCTGGGCCAATTGGAGTCTCCCCAAGAAACTTCTGCGATGTCCGAATAACTGAGTAGTGATTCAGGGTTTCGTCGTCAAGCACTACGCTGGCTTGGTTGAGTACAACACCAAGGGCTGGCTGGACAAGAAGCTTGGTCGGATGAATCGATGGTGCTGTGACCTATTCATGAATTGCACTAGGCTTCCTTTCTGAAGCCGACTGACCAGATTGCATTCTCAGGAACAATGACAGACTGTTGGTTGAATGCGAAGAGCTCATTTGTGACTCGGACATGTGATGTGTGGAATCGTCAGTGTCTGCTTTGGCACGTTGACACCATTTGACACCTGACCTGATTGTGCGATGCGAAAAGTTTGCTATTGACCTATTTACCCTCTGATTTATAGTTGATTGACCCATTAAACCTGGTGATTTTCCATCGTTTTTTGTATGTTTACCAGGCCGGGTATCATGATTCCAATCGGTGCCAAATGGCCATCCTGTGCCACCTGGGATTGACAAACTGCCGAGGCGATTCCAACTTGCCCTTCGTGGCCAGCCTGGGCGAGTCTGATGGTGGCAAAGTGCCTTTCAGATCCATCAGCAAGAAGTATTGTGCGGATTTGGAGAATTTGTTGGAGACCCTGAACACCTGTCACCTGCACTACATCCGTTGCTTGGAGCAACCAGGCTGACTTCCTGTTTCGGTTTTTCGTCATATTTCGTCAACTTTCCCAGGCTGCTTCAAGCCAAACGAATGCCAGAAGCCTGCGATTTTCCACGAGACTCTGGTGATGGATCAGCTTGTGCAGTTGCTTGGAGAATTGATACTAGATACTGATTCTACTGATACTTTCACAAGTCATCTAAGTCATCTTGAGCCAAACGAATCATCAAATTGGCACCAAGCAGTAGCCTCCAAGTGCCACCATAACCAGCCTCCAACGTCGCAGGTGTGGAACCATCGAACTGGTGAAGATCATGCACGATGGCTATCCAAACAGATGTCCCTTCAACGAGATTGTGAAGCGCTTCCGCCACTTGAACTTACGCATAAGCAGGTTTTGATTGCTCATCTGGATGCCTGGAAACCAATGGTTGTTTGATTTAATAACATAAGAACATATAACATGATGTTGGATATTGATATTTGACAGCACACATATATATATATAATATACTAATACACTATATAGTTTAATGCAAATGACTAGGGCTTAAACAAATGCCGATTTCGTCACCAACCAGTCACCAACCAGGAGATTTGCTGCCCGAAAGCTTCCAACGCTATGGCATGCGCACCTTCATCGAAGCACTCATGTTGGCGTATGATGTTCCAAAGGAGGCTTTTCCACCCAGGGAGCATGATGGTCGTTGTTTAAAGTCTGGAAAACATATACGAAAACCATGGTTAATAATATTAGTCGAGCAATGTCGCAAGGCGTTTTTTTTTTTTGATTGATGTTTTTTCCCTATACCACCCATGAAAATTGTAAATTTAACATTGAAACGAACAGGCGTTGTTAGGCAATATAGTCGTGGTGCCAGTGGCTGATGTTTCTGAAGGACTACAGGAATGATCCATGTCAAAGCCTGTGCCTCTTCATGAAGTGATGTGTGCATGTCGTTGTGATCAAACAAATGCTCATCATTGGTGGAACAGACTCTCCCGGTATCTCCCGGGCCTTGGCGCCCCGGTTGAGCTTTCAACTTCCATGCCTTGCTGCAGGAATGGGCCCTGGGAATGTCGCGGCTCTTTCTGAAAGCAGGGCAATTGAAAGCCCTAGAAGACATGCGCACCGAAGGCGCACGGATTTGCTGAGACGCGTGAGACCTGTCCTCATCCCAAGTCACAGCTTTATCATTCTAATACTCCATCGACATTCCAAACAAAATAATCAAAGTAATCAAAATAATCAAAATAATCAAAATATATAGTAGTGACATTTAGTGACTATATATATATATCCCCATCAATTCATGATATTCCCTAAATGTCAATTCTGATATTCCTGTATCCTGTATCCCCATCGCTTCTCCCAGGAGCTGAAGCGGATCCAGAAAGGTTGCGGCAGATCGTCCATGACATCATCAGGACGACTGACGTTGCTCTCCTTGAAAAATACAGAGGCTTTCAGGACGTTTCCCCTGAAATCAGCACGCGAAGTTTTCGGATTGAAATGACCTGGTCGCAGCCTTTTTCGCATCTGAAGTTCTCTTATTTCTTGGTTTCCAAATCTGAATCAAGGGGGAATTTCGAGAAAAAGTTGGCCAGGGTCGCAGCCAGGAAGAAATGGCTCCGTGCCAATCATGCCATACAGCTGGTGAACTATTTGCCGAGGTGGGCACCATCATCCGACTGGATGGGTAATCCTTTCGTTTTTTTTTCTATGGACAATAAGCATAACCGCCATAACCAGCAAAAGATTACCCTCTGGTAAACTAACATAACTATGGAAAATCACCATTTTCAATGGGAAATTCCACTATAAATGGCCATTTTCAATAGCTATGTTAAATTACCAGAGGGTATTATTTTTGTGTACTATCAAAGATTGGCACTTACAATTTTTTCCATGTGACAAAAGGGGTCAGTGCCTCGCTTAGGCCTACGTTTTGGCTCGCTTAGGACTACGTCGGAGATACATGGCTACAGTATCAATAGAAAGATAGATGCATCCGAACGTGTGTATCCAATGGAGTCCAATGTGTTTGATGTCGTGTCTCTTACCTCTAGTAGTTCCCACTGTCCCCTGTCCCCAGTTCCCCTGTCCCCCACTAAAGATTAACCCTAAAGGTGTGTATCCAATGGAGTTAATCCTAAAGGTTGAACTACACATCCTTGAATGTCGTCCTAAGTGATCCAAAAAGTTGTCCTAGGTGATTCTTTGACCGACCACAGGTGACAAAGTCTCACCATATTTTTAAGCATTTTGACGTGGACAATTATGATCTACCATGAGATGTTAGGATTCGAGGATTCTTGGACCAACTCGTTCAGGAAACGATAGAACAAATGCGGAAACTTCACCTCATACAGCTTGAAAGGGAAGCTCTGCTGTGTGAACTGCGAACACCTTTGAAACTGACTGATAGGCAACTACAATATACCGTCAATATGTATGCATATATACGTATATATATAATATTTACATAATACATAAATTATATTATAATGATGATTTATAAACGTATGTGTTAATATATATGCAGATATATGAGATTAGATGCATATAATCTGTATATGTAGCAGATATTGTGGGATACCCCTGGGAATTTGACGTAACCATTGAAGCCATGGCCCATTTAGTTCGTTGATTAATTTACCGAACTCAAGATAGTGTTTTATCTTTGTTCCATAGTTATATTAGTTTATCAGAGGGTACCCTTTGGTAAACTAACCGTGTCTATGGAAAATCACCCATTTATAGATGGTTTACCTATTAACAATGGTGATTTTCTATAGGAAACTGTTAGTTTACTGGAGGGTATATTGGTTTATTGGTGCTAAACGTAGGGAATGGATGGGAATGGGGGAATGGGATGATTATTACTAGTGATTATGGATCATTCCCTCATTCCCTGCTAAGCACCAGTAAGATATTGGTTTACATTCATCTCACTGCCAGGTTTCTGTCAGCTCTGCGCACAGCAAGAGCTGCCCGGACACTCTGCACGCGAGCTCTGCTCATTGGACGACTCCAGCCAATGCTGACGGCAGCGAGGTGGCCGGCAAAAACATGGGAAACATGTGTCAAACATGGTGAAGTTAGTTGGTTAAAAGAATGGTTTAATGGGAAATAATGGAGATTTAATGGAATATATAACATATATAACCAACTATTGGATGAAATTGGATGATATACCCGTTAATTGGGGGATGATCATCAATCCATTTTCAAAGGGATTTACATACCCATTATGTTTGCATTCCCATTATAAATGGCATGGATGACAATAAACCAGATATCATATTTTGACCCAACAAAAAGAGCAAAAACAAACATGGATAAAATCTGTGGACCTATTGGGTTCTTCATCTTTTCCCAAAAGCAAATAAGATAATTCTGCCCTTTTGCAAGGCGGGCATCCAACAAGGGGTTCACAAAAAGTCACCGACATCCGCCATATTTTGCTGTAATTTAAATAAGCAACCAAAGTCCTAGACATTTTCCAGTTTCATAAGTTTGATGATAAAGTCGTGTATCAGTTTGAATATCAATGGAATCTTAGAGTTTCTTTCCGCAATCAATATTCATGATATTCCATCTGTGGCCATACATATGGAGGTTTCCTGAAATAGGGGTACCCCCAAATCATCACTTTCATAGGATTTTGCCATTCTAAACCATCTATTTTAGGGTTTTCCCATTGATGGAACCCCCCATTTCCATGATTTTCCATGATTTTCCATGATTTTCCATGGTGAAATGTGTCATTTCAATAGGAGCTGTCCATCCACGGCGTCCGCCCAGGGAAAAGCTTCGGCTTCGAGCGCAAGCCGCCCGGCGCCGGCTTCGGGGCGCCGTGTGGACGGCGCGGCTGTCGGTGAAGTTGATGCAGCAGGCGGCGTCCGAGTCCTGCCGTGGATGAAAATCCACATAGAACTTATATAACCCATATACCCTCTGGTAAACCTTCACATAACTATGGAAAGATCCAGCATTTTTAATGGAATTTTTGATGGAAATTGATAGGGATTTATAGTGATTTAATGGGATCTTTTAGTGATTTAATGGGATCTTATAGTGATTCAATGGGATGTTAATGAAATATACCCTCTGGTTATTTAACATAGCCATGGAAAATCCATTATAAATGGAGGGTTTCTAGCTGGGAAAATCATCTATAAATGGGCCATTTTCAATAGCTACGTTAAAGAACCAGAGGGTAACTTATATAATCCATATGAAATCTATAATCCATATGGGATATATGATACATGGGATTTCATCCATGATATATATATAAACATAGCTATAGATATTCCATATAGCATAGGGTATATTCCATGAATCTAGCTGTTAGACCGGGGGTGTAACAGTTCGACCCTGAAAATCACGTTTTTTTTGAGCAGAAACTCATCTTCCAACCCCTATCTGTCAGGATCTATGTTAATCTGGAGGGTAGATGGGCCATGAAGGGTTTGATTGACCTCGCAAAATGGGTATTTTCCATCTGTGAAATGATCAGAGGGTACTCTTTGGTAATCAAACATCTAGCGAAGTCCCAATTTTTCATGGGACAAGAGCTTCGATTTCCTCAAAACCATGGCATACTGGAGCGAATTTTCCATGACATGTATATCGGAAAAGGGTAGGCAGACATGGCTCGGCTGTTTTGCCTTCGCAAAAAAACCTATTTTTTGTGTGTCTTTTGGTTCGTTGGTCAATTTTGAAAACATGGGCCATGGAGACAATGGGACTCATCTGAATCGGGATGTGCAGGCGAAGTCCAATCGACGAGAAAGACTGGTGAACGCGGTCTATTTGAGGTGGCTCCTTCACAAGAGGCCACCTGGATGAAAACCGAGGCTATGCGCTATGCGTCCGAAAATTGAGGACCCAACATGGTGTGTTCTGAAAAAGAAAGCAATTGTTGAACCGTGAGGTTCTTGAGGTTCTCCAGATTCCGGGGGTATTCGTCAACTTCTTATAATAATATATATATATATATTTATAATGTGGGATTCACCCAATGCCATGCAGCTACATATTCCCATGGGTGGGGTTCATGTCATCGGTACCTTGAGGCTCCAGCCTGCCATCCAGGGCGCGCGCAAGCGGCTCATTGCCCTAGAGGTTAAGCGGGAGGTGCAGCTGATGGACACATCTGAGATGGGAAGGGGGGATTGTAACCATCAGTTTCTTGTTTTTTCTTTATTCCGATGTTTTCATTTGAAATATGGGCAATTTGAAGCATCAAACATGGCTATAGCCATGGGGATGTGCTGTCATCGTGAATTGGATTCATCCAATGGGGCAAATCTACACCAACGCAGCAATAGGCTGAACGTCGCCGTGAAGAAGAGCGACGTGCTGCAGAGGCACAAAAGACTCGCTAGTTCCAGAACTGACTTCAAGTTTCGATTTTACAAATATGTAAAGTAAATAGGATACATACATATGTGTATATATATATATACACCATATATAATATATATACACATACACTGTATAATTATATATATATACACATACACTGTGTATATACATACATTTTGTTTGTTTGTTTGTTTGTTTGTTTGTCTGCTTGTTTGTTTGTTTGCTTGCTTCTTACCCATATTTGTGGAATAAAAGAGGCACCAGATGTTCCATTGTTTTGGTGGCAATCAAGTTGAACCATGACCCAAATCCGAACTGGACACAGTAGAGATCATAGCACGGGCCCTTGTAGTGGGCCCTTAAATTCCCTTCCTTATATATGCCTTATATAGACTTATATACCCCTTATATAATCTTATGTTTATTCAGCCTTCTATATTCCTTTTACAATTTTCTTTGACATATTTTGCTTGTCCCATCAATCTGCATTAGCTTCCTTGTCCCAAGCTTGTTATCTCTCATTATCGACAATGCTTCCAATTTGTTGGTCATCACCACCGGTTCCCATCGACACGAGGAAAAGAGACGCCATGAAGAGGAGATGGAGAGAATGAAGGAGCAGCTTCGCAAAGAGTACGAGGAAAAGGAACGGAAGCTTGCAGAGGCTGCTGCTGAGGCAGGTCACAGTCACTGGTTCTGCCGTTCTGCCGTCCGGTCACAGTCAATAGGGGAGTGCCATTAGAGAACTTTCTCGTCTACCACCAAAGATCGACATAGAGCCATCTTCCAGCATTCAAATGTTGGGGTTTAGCCATAGTCCAGCTACATTCCAGCCATGTTCCAGAGCCATAATCACCAACACATCATTTCTTGGGTCACTGGATTTGTGTTCCAGGAAAACTCTAGAGGTAACCACTGTTTTTACCCATTTTCAAGTGAGATATTTTTAGGGGTTTTGCTGTAATGTTTTCCCCCTAAACGCATCCATTTCTGGGGGATTGGTTTCTATAGGCAAAGCGACAAGAGGAGGAACAAGCCCAACGAGCGGCTGAGGCGCAGGCACAGCAGGAGCGGGCCATTGTTGTGCGCGGATGTTTCAATAGACTTGAAATAATGAGACCATGCTGTGGATGGGTTCGAAATCCTGCACCACCTTGCATGGTTGAAACCCTAATAAATAATGGGATGTTTAGCACCTATCAACTGGTGCAGGATTTCTTCCATCCACCGTATGATAGATATAGCCTAATGAAATAGCTATGACTTGAGTCATGATAGTGATGATTGCGGAATTGTGGACGTGCTTGATGTTTTTTCAACAGAACCACATCATCCCAAAGCACCTGGCTCCCAGGAAGCGGAATTGAGGCGTGTCAAGGAGGACACGGCCACTGGATGGTACCCCAATAGCTGGATATTTCATGGAAAATCCGAAAAAACATGGATGATGATTTGGGGGTATGCCCTGTGACTTAGGAAACATCTATTTTCGCCGGCACTCTCATTTCATGGGAATCCACTTGCCGATCTCGTGGCTTTACTGGACTTTGATTTGTGATTGACTCCGAACTACCTGGGGCAAGCTTTTTTGTGAAAGTTCACGTGGCCATGGCGAAAAGAAACAGCGTGAAACCCTCATGAGTCATTCAGACAGATAACCCACTGGCAGCAGATGTCTAACAGGAGCTTGAAGCCAAGAAAAGCGAGGCCTGCTTCAAACAGTGTTTCCAACATTTTGGGACTGTTTAGGATGTGATGCCAAGTACATTTCACATATATATATAATATAAATGGTATACCATGATATTATCATTTCAAGAAATAATGTGAATGATCAGATTAGGTGTTGATGATTTGTCATCATTGGGTGGGGCAACACCAGAAAGTCTTCTTAGATGAGTTGGACAGAAGCAGGACCTGTGGAGTCTTACCATGGAGGGATTTTGAGGGATTCAACTGGGGCTGTGGGTGTCCACGTAGCAGGAGGCGCATCGTGCAGAGGTGCTTTCGACAGTTGTTTTGTGGTTTGGCTCTGGGCAGATGGTGTTTTGGAATCTGTTTCTGACTTGGATTTGTGTCCCACCCTATTTCAAGCAAATTAGCTTGATCATGATTGCAGCTCTTGCTTGTTCGCTTTTATTCATCTTGTGCGTTTTCATGGTTGGGTTTCAATCCGTTGTATAGCAATATATAGGTTTGTCTGTTGAACAAGGTACCCCATTCCATCCACTGGTTAATTCTCATTCTTCCTGTTAACAAATGCCCGTTTTTTTTTGGGTGTCACTCCCGCATTGCATTTTGAGACACCCCCAAGCGAATCCCATGGCAGGCGCTGGTGAACGATGTCCCCTCCCCATGCCGGAATTCACCTTCCAGGTGTTCAGCTCATCGCTTGGGAAAGAAGTCACTGGTAAACTGGCAAAAACTATAATATACATATAGACAATTGATAAGACAAAATAAAAGATAAGACAAGACAACATGTAATACACAATAATACACACACACACATTTATATACATATATAATAATAATAATAGTAAAAATAATAATAGTAATAGTAATAATAATAATGATAATACTAATAATGATAATAATATATAATATATAAAATATAATATAATCTATAATATAATATATAATATAATATATAATATAATATATAACATAATATATAATATAATGCGAATAGAGTGTAGGCTACGGATCAAGTATAATATCACAACTAAACACTCTGTGATCCAGCACCAAAGGGGCAATCCGAACTGGCCTCTTTGGCTCAAGACCCACTGCAGCACTGGAGAAAAGATCAGCAATGCGGAAGCAGCTGCCCGTGTGACGTCGTCGAACTGGAACATTTATCCTCAACATCAACCATTGGAACATAATCGGGTAGGCAATCCCCGATTCGCAGGTTATCAGCCGTAGGACTCCTACGGAGCCTACGAGCGGGGAGCCGCGGGCCTTACAGATGACTGAACAGGATAGCAGCGATAATGCATTTTCTTTCTCTGGACATGCCGTTGCACCAGCTGCCGGCACGCAGTCAAATTCTTCACAGAGTATCGACACTGGTGGAAGCGATGCCTCAGAACTGAGAACAAGCCAACCCAGGCGACATCTGGTTGCTCCTAGAGGGAGACAAATTTCGACAATGCAAGCAATTGAAGATAGGGACAGCACACCTGGAAAGAGAAGATCATCTGCACGACAATTGTCGCCTCCGATGACTCCAAGGACTAAGGCAAAGACTACGTCGTCGAATCCGCCTTCACCGATTCAGGACGCTACTCCATCAGGGACAGGATCTTATCAGCAAGTGAATGCCCCGTCAAGTGGTAGCGACATCTTCACTGCCTATCAGAGTGAATTAACTGAGTACAAAACATCACTGGAAAGGGCCACTGAAGAAGAATCTGTACTTCAGGCAAGATTGAGTGAGACGACAGCATATGCCTATCAACAATTTAATTTCCTGGAAAGCACCACTCATCAAGAGATGATGTCGATGACCGAACAACTCCAGATGCTGAACTTCGAGTTACAGGCTGCACAACAGGAAGATGAAGGTGCGACCTACAGGATCGAAGAGTTGGAAAGGTATCAGACTATGTCGAATGAAGCTGCATCTCATTTGGAATTCAAATATTCACGACTACGTTCGGAATTCGATGAACAAATGGGACAAGCAAACGCAATTATGGTACATGTGGGAACTGACGCGAATGCTCACATCAATCAACTCAGACTGGAACTGGAAAACGCAGAGATGAATGCCAAGCAAGAAGCTCTAGCAGTCGGCTATGCTAATGACCAAACATGTGCTTTGTGCAGATCGAGATGCTCGAGGTTGCCAATCAGAACCAGACGATGAAGCACACCATGGCCATGAATGTCAGGCGACTGGAAACTGAGTTAGATGCTGCTGACATGAAGAGGGACGAGATCATGAAGGAGTTCCGTAGTAACATAAGATCTGAACATGACCGTTATGCAGAATGTGAACATCACTTAGCTTTGGAAGAATCACAGCTTCGATTACAGGTGATCCACAGTGAGAACTTACAATCTCGACTAGCGATTTCTGAGAACAGGGTTTCTGAAGAATCTCTAGCTGAATCAGGTGGCATGCGGGACATGAGGATAATGGGACTACGTTCTGAACTACACATGAAACAAAGTCTTTTAGATCGAATGCAACAGCAACTGACTGAATCGAAGAATCAGTATCATGAACTTTCCTGTCAACAAGCCAGAAGATCTTCACCAAGCAGATCACCGCATGGAGGACCTCTATACGAGATGTACATGCAAGCCGTGCGTGAACGTGACAGCTTGAAAGAATCCAAGGCCGAAGTTGACAAGTTGTACTTGCAGAATAGATCTGAACTCATTGACACTGAGGACCTGCTCAAAGTCTTCCAGCGAAACTTTGATGAAACTGGTAAGAAATATCAAGATGCTCTGAACAAGATCGATCACATGAGCAACAATCCGAATGTGACGAGTACCTTGTTTGACAGTTTGCACAATGAACTCAATGACAGGGATACAGCTATTGCTCGCCTTCATACTGAACTTGAAGCCCAAAAGGACTCTCTTGAGCGTGCTCACAGGGATGCAGGTAAGTCCATCAAGATGTTGAACGACAGAAGACTCGTGATCAAAGGTGCGACTGACTATTCCATTCCTGAAAGCCATTTGACCGAGATGCATCAATTGGCCAATGAGCGTTACGCTGAGGTAGAAGAAATGTCGAGCACCATTGCTGCCCTGAAGTTGGAAAACCAAGCTCATTCTTCTTCATCAATGAATAGACCGACTACATTACATGGGTACCCCAGTAATGCCATGCCTCGGAATGAATGTGAAGAGAAGTGTGCCAAACTGAAAGCAGAGTTGGACGAGATGAAGCAAGAGAGGAACGCTGAAGTTCGAAATCTTCAAGATGAGTTGAAGAAGATGGAAGATCGTAAAGATTACTATAAGAACAATTTCTCTCAAGCTGAAGATCGTGCCAATGATGAAGAACAAGAATACCGAGCAGAAGCTGAAGCCTTCGAGAA